ATCCAGGCCATAGGGGCCTTAACAAGCAGTTCTAATTTTAACGGCTCTCACTCCAACCCTTCCGAGACGTCCCGTAAATAGAGAAGATTTCGCACCACATAAAAAAAAATATTAAAACCACCGTTGAAATTTGCATCAGCATTCACGTCAGTGTCCGAATTTAAACATACAGCAGTGTACGAAAAAACTACGGCCTTGCTGCAAACCAGGCCGGCGCCCCCCCCCCATGTAAAATGACCGCTGATGAGGCGGTCACTTTACATTGACAACACGGCATCTGTGACGATTTTCCGAGAGCCCCAGTCGCTCAGCGCGTTCAGGCTGCTGCTAGAAAGCCGTGCCACCTTTGCCAGCAACGTTTCTTAACCGGAGTAAGTTCCGGCAAACGCGCGGAGCCCGAGTCTGAGGAGCTTGCCAAGCGCGTAGCCAGGCCGTTCGTGAACGAGCCCCTGGGCCTCCCGTGCTCTCCGGAGTCTGAAAGCTCACGACGACGGCACGAGGGTCAAAGGCATCTCACTAATGGTCCGGCTTAAGTGCCTTCAGTCAAACATTCCTTGTGTTATTCATGCCTACTTAACAATAAATCAAGCGCTCTTTAACCTTGACGCTGCGATGTGTTAAAACTCCCGGAAAAAAAACCGATTATAGCCCACTACGTATCAACTCGTTTTGCTCAGGGAGTTGTTCATTTAAATCAACTAAAGAAAAGTTGTTGGTTAGCTGTGATTTAGAACCTCGTCTCGAATAACCGTTACAGTTCATGGACAGTTATCGTGGGCTGGACCGCTTTCGCCACGTACTTCACGAGTCGAATTAAACAATGTTTATAGCTAACGATTCAATCTATCAGTTTAGAAGTGTGTAAGTCATGGGGGGCGGGGTGACTATACCCGGTGATCGGTTTAGAGATACCCCACAAATAACATATAGAGGAGGGGGGGGGGGTAGAATGTATAGGAAAAACATTTCATCTCAATGCCTCTCTGCATGTCTCCCACAAATCCCAATACACGCAATGCATTTTTTAACACTCTCCCCTTGACAAGACACAGAGCCGTCACTTTCACAATGCTCAATAACCCCTTGAGAAGAGGGTCATTAGAAATCAGTGGGGTGTTTATAAATGGATCGCCTCCGTACCTTAACACGCTGCTACTCAGCGCGGGTAGGTGAGGTAGATTGCCAGCCGGGGGGGGGTTAGGGCCTGGACTAGTTGAGTTATCACTCGCCGCTGATGTTAGCAGTGGTTGAGAATGAAACGGAGGTCGTCGGTTTTTCTCGGAGCGCTAGTGCAATAACCACCCGCGTCCACTCCTCCACCGTCCCCCGCTCAAATACTTGGTATAAATATCGCTCTTTGTAGCTTTTTTTTTCTCTCCCCCTCGGAGCAAATGTTTTCTTCCGTAAGATGTGATGAGCGTGCGCCGCTGAATAAACCATTGCGGTGATGTTTTCCTGTCAAGGTGTCAACCACACCCAGGGTGGTTATAAACTCAACCCTTTTCACACAGGATTTTGGATTAAAGCTTATTTTTACATATTTTGTGTACTCACATGCACTTCTGAAAGATTTCACGCCTGATGATGATTGCTTGTGTTGCAATCCCTTCTACGTGACTTTACCGTAAGAACTAAGAATATGAATCCCTGCAGTCGCGAAAGCTTTAAATCGAAAAATTAACACTTATTTTATTTGTTGCCCAATGCAAACGGGGAATTCTTTTAAATTACGACATTTACTGTCTATGCGTATTTTGAAGTGTAATTAAGTTAACTGCAATTGAATTAGTACCAGGTATCATAATCAGGTTAATTAATACCAATTAAACATCGGCAAATATTAAACGGTTAAAAATTGTCTCCAATTATATAATTACGCTTTAACATAAACTGGGAACATAGGGATGAATCAGGGAGCACACACAAGTTCGCAGAGTATTGACTGTTAAGTAATAAGAATAATGAGAGAAAGGTAGGTTATATTTCTTGGACATGTAATGAGAACACAAGAGACTGAAAATGTAATGTCTTGACTGGGTAAATTATAGGTACGAGAAGCCTGGGAAAACCGCAAATTAAATCACAATTTGAGCAATTGGATGCTACTGGGAGACTAATGCGAAGTTCTTGAGCAAATATCATCGGCAGAGATAAATGGAAGGGAGGCCATGATCGCCAAACATTTTTTGAGATAGCATGTGGCGCACACACAGACAGAGAGATTGACTGAAGAAAAGTGGGTTTGGGTGGGACACAGGGCGAGAGGGGACGATGATCAACACAAATGATGAAGCGGTGGTCGATAGAAAACGCCCAGGAAGATGTCCACCGTGAAGATGGAATGATAAAATCGGCTCACGTGCAGGATGGATATGGATTGTTGCATAGCAAGGCCGTGAGAAATGGTGATGGCTGAAGATGACCCTCATCAAGATGTGGACAGATCATGGCCGATGACGATAATGACGATGACAATTGTGGCAAGATTAAGTGCTTGCGTTGAAGTTACCAACTAAACCACAAGTAACTAAGTTACAAGTATGCACAAAATCCTGGTCTTAAGATAAACAAAAATACGCTTACTCAGTAACCGAACACTGGAATTTTGTAACAGAAGCAATACATTTACCATAACGTAAACATCTAATATTACAAAATTACGTTTATAATTTACAAATATTCAACTGTAATACATTCCGTAGATCCACTCACAACACTCACACCAAATGCACACACGTGACTATAAAATAATAACAATAGCACGTCTGTAAATTTTGATTTGAAGCTTTTGTGACTGCAGGGATTCATATTCTTGGTTATTTCAGTAAAGTCACGTAGAAGGGAAATAATAAAATAATATAAATATAAAACAATAAAAATTCTCACGACGGTTCGACTGCAACACAAGCAATCATCATGTGGATTTCACACCTGATGATGATTGCTTGTGTTGCAGTCGAAACGTCGTGAGAAATTTTTTTTTTTAATATTTATATTATTTTATTATTTCCCTTCTACGTGACTTTACCGAAAGAACCAAGAATATAATAGCAAGTCTGTAAAATTAAACACATGCGTATGCTATGTGACAATATTTATCACGTATGTTGATCTTCTTTCGCACCGTACGTAGCCAACCGCGCTAATCGCAGGTGCGGGGGCAGGACGGCAATAGATGTGGATGTTGTGATCAATCCTTGAGACAGTGAATATATTGGATCGGCACAGCACCATACAGGGTATGACTCACACCACCAGAACAAATTAAAAGAGCAGCACGTCCTGTAAGCCTTTTGAATTTGGCAGTCTAAGGCCGTGTGCCCGGTATAGTATGCGAGAGTCCAACGTTCATCGGAATGAATCTCCAAAGGCCATTCGTAATCGCGGGACACATTTCTTGAATTCAATTGTGGTGTGCAAAGCAAGGTTATTAGTGTGAGTTAGTGGGCATGCAAAGGCAACCTTTAAACTGCCGAGGGTCAGGCAAGGTTAAAATTCATGCAGCGGTGCAAGTTGCACCGACGCCGGAAGACACGCCGGCACAGAGAACATGGCTTATACCTGGTGCTCGGGACAGCAAATCCATTTGATGAATGTTGGTCCATGCTCTCCAATCAATGTTGGAAGCCTCATTTTAAAACCCGCCGCGTTCCCCAAACCAAACGGTGGCAACTCCGCCGTAGACGTCACGTTGCCGAGGCATTCAGACTTCATCTTCTTGGTTCTTTCGGTAAAGTCACGTAGAAGGAAAATAATAAAATAATAAAAATAAAACATAATAAAATAATTATCACGACGTTTCGGCCACAACGCAAGCAGCCGTCCACCTGAGGACCACCTGAGGACGGCTGCTTGCGTTGTGGCCGAAAGGTCGTGAGAATTATTTTATTATGTTTTATTTTCATTATTTTATTATTTTCCTTCTACGTGACTTTACTGAAAGAACCAAGAAAGATGAATCCCTGCAGTCACGAAAGCTTTAAATCGAAACATTCAGACTTCAGCAAAACGTGTCGTCTTGTTGCGATACAAGTTGCCCGCGGCAAATTTACGCCCGTCGCAAATGTCTGCAACTCTTTGACTACTCTGCCATCGTTTTTTTCCGCGGTTGTGAAGTACAGCTCAGAGTTTAGATACAGAAGAAGCTCCCAAGCAAGTGGAGCGAACACGTCGGAAAATCGTGCCGAACGAGACGTGGCACGACCCGAAAAAAGCATCGCGCAAGTGAAAGAATATTTCCACGTTGCCGGTACATCAATTACTGTAACATTGTTTGTGAATTTGTCTCTACCGTGTGGAATGAAAGTCGGGGTGCATGGTGAAGACCCACACACGTGCAAGCGGAGGACTCTCCAACTCTACATCGAGGCAAAGCTCTGCTACAATGTGGATGGAGTAGGCAGCATCCTTTAACTTAGTCATCGAATTTGTCCAGTAGGTCACAGCCTTTTAAAGTTTTAGTCTTGTCTCTGGATTCATGTCATTCTCTTAGTTTTAGTAGTACGTATGTACATATTATGTATGTATGTTGAACTTCTCTCGCACCGGAAGTGGCCAAAATTGTTAATCGGAAGTGTGGGGGAAGAACAACAAACTAAACACAAAAAGCAGTTCTAAAATCAGCCACTTAGTCAAACATGCCGACTTATTCAATATTGGCGTGAGGGGTAGGCAATTGCCTTTCCCCTGAATATTAGCCACGTGACCTCGGTAGATTATTTTACACATACTCGACAGCCAATTGCCATTTTTGGTTTTCCTCAATGCAGTCTCTCCAACGACGTTACTACATTATTCTGCATTTCCTTTCGACTCGTAAATTTTGTCTCGTCGAGCTCGGTCGCGCTTAGGTCTCTGGCGTGTCGCTCGCAGTTTCGTCCGCTCACCGTTGACGGAAACCCGTTCGAGAAAAAAAAACTCCCCGGTTGACGAACGCACTTTCGTCGTCAATTCCGTTGACGAAATGAACGCTGCCGTATCGAGTGAAAGGCTGGACGTACTCTGCGGAGCTTGTCCAGGATCTGGGGGTGCGTCAGGCCGTTCAGCGTCCCCACGATGGACATGAAGCCCACCAGGAAGGGCGGTGCAAAAGCTCCCTGCGGGCGAGAATTGAAAAAAAGGTAAAGTCGCAGCCCTGCAATTTCTTGTTCGTGTCGCTGCTGGCAGGAGGGCCGCCAGTCGAGGCATCTTTAGAGCCCCTCGAGAGAGTATTTGGCATCCTCTTCCATAGAGGTGCGAGCACCCACGCTTTACTCCACTCCACAACAACTGTTGATCGACCAGAGGTCGCAAACAGGTTTTGATTCCTTACCCGTACCCGTACCCGGCCGCACCAGGGTCGCAAACGGGTACCCGTACCCGTACCCGGTCGGGTACGGGTACGGGTACCCATTCCCTACCCGTACCCTACCCGAAATGAGTGACAAACGGTTACTCACCAGTGACTCACGGCCTACCCGTACCCGTACCCGGCTGCACCAGGGTCGCAAACGGGTACCCGTACCCGTACCCGGCCGGGTAGCTGGGTATCGGGTAGGGTACGGGTATCGGATACCCGGTTGCGACATCTGTGATCGACTAACTGTGGTCTTTCCCAGATATTCTGCTGGGTTGGATGAAAGTCTCTTGCACCGTCGTGTGAACTGCCGTGGTTGGAGATTGAACCGGCGCGCTCTGGATTGCAGGTCCAGTGTGCTAACCATTACACCACCAATAATAAAAATAAAGTACCATGCTGTCTTGTGGCAGCGTCGGCACTAGTCAGCCATAGGACTTGATGCCGACTATTACGCCCCAGGCTTATTAAGTGCTCGTTAACAGCCCTTTCCTATGCAGGCTACAGAGCTGGATCAGGTTTTCTTCTTGCAGAGCGTTGCTGCTGTATGTGCTACACCCTGGAATGTGCCCGACCTTATTAAATCTTGAAAGCCAAGCAGGCCGAAGCCAGAATTGCGGTTAGATGGGCGACCACCATGCCTCGAGCAGGTTGTTACGTTGCGAGCGACAGTGGGCGGTGCAGAAAAAGCCGTACACGCACGTATATACACTCTTCACCTTCACAAACACGTACTGACCAGCGTTGTGTATACGGAGCGGTGGTTCGGTGATTGGAGGTGCTCATCTAGCAGTCGGATGGACGTGTATGAGCTAAACAGCATATTAACCAAACCACGAGAACCGTGTTACCTGGTCAAGCGCCATCTTCTTGAGGGCAACAGTCTTGGTGGTGCCAGGAACCAGCCGATCCAGCACCCGGTACCAGCCCCCAATCACAGGTCCCTGCGAGCAGTGCGCGTCGCACACGCACAAACACAACGAGCGACACAAACCCACACACGCATACACACAAAAGACGACGGAGGCTTGTTCAGCCCCAGAGACCACAAGGGAAAGGGCTACTACTGGCAAGCGCTTATGAAGGCGGGCTCCAGCAAGGCACATGAAGAGCAGTGTGTCCAACTTTGTCCTCCCTCGAGTGCTGACGTTTATATATAAACAGGTGCTCACTTAAGGCCGAGACGACGTTGCAAGCGAAGTGGAACGGGGGTGAGGTGCTCACGTAAAGCGAAGTCCGACCTCGGATGCGACGTCAATCTCTGTTAAATCTGCGACTGTGTACAAGTGGCGAGGGGGAAACAAAAAACCCCAAAGCCTTGCTAATATAATTCGATTTGCAGAAGCCGAAGAGGGGGGGGGGGAAATTAATTCCGGGGGGGGGGGGGGGTACAATCTCTCTTAGAAATTAAAAAAACCTATATTCGGGAGCTCCGAGGGAAGGCAAGGCTCTCACGCAGGGTAGGAAGTAGTTCACCTCCGCCTACTGTACATGCTACTATTGATATGGAAGGCTCACCTTGATTAACCCCGTCTCTTCTCGAGCGCTGAAGTATAATGATCCACGGGATGACGTGACTTAAGGACAATGATTGATTACGCCGAAGGATCTTCGACGTTACATCGGATCTGGTTCTCGTTTCTCTCCAGCCCAACATGCCAAAATGAATGTCATCGCTAGCTCGTTGAATACAATTATCGGTCTTGTCCACACTCCCTCGACCCCCTCACCCCAACCCAACTCGTCCCCAGAATTGCTTCTGGGGGTGAGTTCACCAACTTGTGGAATTCCTTCTGGGGACGGGTGACTTCTTTCTTCAAATCGGCATTGACTACACACACAGAAGAACTTCCTCTCCACCCCTTGATTTCCCTGTAGCCTTCCTTTTTTTTTACAGTTTACTCTTCAATCAGCTGCGTGCATTAAATAGGAAAAAACTGATTAAGACAGAAGCCCATACTATTGCATTCGTGCAACCTGAAATCGGATCTTGAGTCAATTTCTGCACTGCAGTATTTCCATATATTTACCCAAATATAAAGATCCCCCGTATAGCCTGCAATAGACTCTTGGGGTAAGTGCTGTTAGTGAGCCCCTCTGAAGGACCGCGCAGCACACAATAAGGTGGGTGGCCGGGAATCGAACTCGGGTCGCCGGATTTGTAGCGCGGCGCGCTAAGCGCTACACTACCGCTCTCTCCGCTTCATACACACACACACATTATTATTTATACAAATTTCAACAAGACAGAAGCCAAAACAACAGCGGTTTGATAATTGGACTCGTGCAAATCTCACCACAAACGCAAAGCCAATGAGCATCATTTTGGCCGTCCGTGCTCCATCGTGATTCGGGAGGCCCTTGCGCTCCACCACTTGCTGGGAGATTATGTCACCCACACCGACAAGGCTACCTGGTGTGGTCAGACGCACAAGCCATGATTAATGACAGATCAGATCGTTGCTCTTGCCCAAGGTCACAGTGTCAGGTTATTACAAGCCGCTATCACCTGACATATGGCCATGGGTTCTTCATTTCTTCATTACCCCAGGGGGTGAGGGGAGGTATTCTACAACTACGGAATTCAACTGAACCTAGTTTTATTTTCTTTCTACCCCATGCAGCGGGCAAGAGCCCTTTTGCCCGGTGCGCAGAGCGTTCTTATACAACACGGGGCTGGATATTGCTCTCTGCGATAAACAAGTCTGCCTTGTTTATGCCGTGAAATTGTACTGCGGCTTGGACTAAAACTTCCTCCACAGTGGCTTTTCATCCAGGGCTTTTGCGCTTAAAAATGAACATCGACTCTCGTGGTGAATATTGATGCGAGAGATTAATATTAAATCAAATTTCAGAAATATTACGTGAAAACAGCAAATTCAAATTCACAATGGGCTTTTCCTTTAGTGATACCGTGCGTCGTGAATTTGATTGACAGGCATTTAAAGCTGACAATTTATACAACGAAGTTATATTGTAGCACTTTAATATGAACGCAAACAGCCTGAGAGTGAAAATTATCTAAACATTTACGGACCCAATTGCATTAATTTAATCATAGTTTTGCTTCAAACGCAGCGTGGAGCCTTTAGCACACCCACGCACATAATGCCGTACCTGAATTCATCCTCACATTGAGACAAATCAGATCAAATCAATTTGTACTTAACTCGCAAAATCACAGCTCCCGCAGAAGTAAATGACACGTAATATGGGCAAAATATATAAAAATATACAATTAGACTAAATATGGATTTACCTAACATATGGCTGCTTATCTCAACTCTGCAAACAATGAATGCTAATGTGAAAAATGTGTCTCATGAATTTAGGGACTTCATAAGTAAGGGCTGATTACACTCAATTCCTGCCACAAAATGATGAATCAGAATTATAAATCTAAGTCTCAATTACAGCACAGGACATCAAAATGTAAAATTTAATATTTCATGATGAAATATGGAAAACCAATTAGCAAAAAGTTAACAACTTTGCATATCACTTTTATCTTTTTTCACATTTCAAAATGCTCTGTCTGTTTAAAAGGACATTTTTAGTCGCAGATATGAATATGAAATTCAATTACCGGCCATGTGTCTGAATGCCCTGGCATGACACAAAGCCTAGATTTCCACGGATTAAAGAGAACTTGCCACATTTGTCATTAATATTGGCTCTTAGCATAGACAACTCTACAGGGGCCCTCTACAGCTCCCTCTAGGAAGACACTGGAGCTATGCACTCTAAATCTGGATTGAAAACTAATTTCTTTATAACTACTTTTCGTGTTTAGTTTATTTTCCTATCCCAGCACCTCTGATTAGTACGCTTGGTTACGTATGGTGCAAAAGAAGTTGAACATGAATACAAAAGATATATATTGTACTAGGCTAACGTATCGAGCAATGGGCCTTATCCATTATTCTTCGCTCTGCAAAAGAAACACTGCCCAAAACGTTAACATTCGGGATGGAATGACGCATCGATTAAGTGATGCATATCCATTCTTAAGTTCATGATACATGAAGTGCACCGCCACTCGTCATTCACTGGAATGTTAAAAAAGAGAACCGATTTTTAAAATTGAATCCTGACAATTTGTGGAATGCCTAGAGGCGCGCAGGGTGAATTGTTCCACCGCAAAATAACCTGCAAAATATTTTAAAGTTATAATGACATGAATGATGATGCATTCAGTCGTTAATTAGAATATTTTTTGTTACATTTCAGGCCACAAGCTTATCATATCGTACATATGTTGGTACCAGCTGAGCTGGCCCTGGATGGCAAAAGGGGACAATGGTAGATTGTAAACAAAGCCCAGGTTTTTTTAAAAAACTTCGCGACCAGCTCGCAGACACGAAACAAAATTTGGCGTGACATTCAGAAAATGCGCAAGAATGTGACTGACGCCACTCACTGTGACACCCTGCGTGCATGCATGCATCACAAATGGCATGCCACTTTCGTTGCAGGGCAAATCGATAACCACTGCAGGGTATAGAGTCCATGCATTTGGAGTTTTTTGGAGCAAAGAACATGGTCTCTGCAAACGGCACGAAGGAGATTGAACTTCACGGCCTCGCAATCGTGGCATTTCGTTAGTTTCAACAACGCAAATAACAATGGGGTGGAGCGGTCGCGCAGCGTATTAGTGCTGTGAACCCGGTGACTTGGGTTCGATTCTTGGCCACGACTAACCAAGTGGCGAGTGAAAACCGGTCATTGGCTTCTTCCTCTTCACTAACCCGCACTGACCAGCGTGGAGAAGTATGATCAAACGCCCCCCCCCCCCACCCCCCCCCCCCCGTTGACTGACACAGCATGCGGAGGCTTTCATCCAGACAAGGGCTCTAAATTATTCTATAACTAACTAATGAACGGTGTAAGTGGCAATCACAAAAACTCAAGTATTAAAAAGTATACGATTTCTTCAAACACATTTGCATATATGTCCCATGTAAATAGAACTGATATGCATTCCAACTTGTTTAATTTTTCTGAAACTCTGAAAAGTTTATGAGTCATTAGCGCCATATGCTAGCAGTGCAATTATGCATTAATTAATGTTTACTTTAAAACTCACAACAAATGCATCTCATCGTGAATTTACAAATAGATGTTATTTATTTGTGTATGTTTTGTGGAATGGGTTTACATGACCCAGGCCACGATTGCAAATGTGACTATCCTCATTGTTTTCTTGAGTTGTCACCTGGCTCAACAACATAAACGTGACCCCTGCAGCCAATCGAGGCTGCTGCATTCACCACAATAAAAAAACAGAATTTATTCCCGAGTCGAATCGTGACCACAAATCACGACCATTCATGAAACCAGAAAGGAGGGGATCAGGGTGTGAATCATTACACGCCTCACTATGCGCACATACACAACTAGTAGTAATAGGTTTTTACCCTTTTAATTGGCAACAAAACTGACACCTTTATACAAGAGATCATGTCTGCATTAACCACAACCGCATGTGTAACGAAGACAACCGCAATTGTTGTGGTTAATGCAAACATGATCCCTTGTATAAAGGTGTCAGTTTTGTTGCCAGTTGAAAGGGTAAAAACCTATAACTATATCTTGCTACTGGCAAAGGTGGTCTCATAACATACACAACTAATACAGCTATATTTATAGAGTATATATATATACAAAGATCAAAGATCCCCCGTATAACCTTAACAGACTGTAGGGGTAAGTGCTGTTAGCGAGCACCTATGAAGGCCGGAACGGTACACGAGGGGGTGGGTGGCCAGCACCACGCCCGACCGCCTTTGTCTCCCCAGTGGCAATGTTTACACACCGCACCAGGTACTCATTTAAAGCTGAATCGACCTAGGGGAGGCCCAGGACCTGTTCAGATAATCGTCACCGGTGTTGGCCGTGTTCGGGAATCGAACCCGGGTCGCCAGGTTTGTAGCGCAGCGTGCTAACCGCTACACTACACTACACACACGCATGTGCACACATGTAAGTATATGTACATACAAGAATGCTTCGTCCATATGTTTATGGATACAGTAATGCTCAATAGTTCACAACGAGTATAATGTTATGAGATATTTCACTTCTGTAACGAAGACTCATCAATTATACTCCCCTTGCATTGTGGGCAAGGACAATGTAGGTTAATTCAGCACCTGGAGTTTTGTTCAGTGAATCATCAGCAAGAGGCAGAAAACCCACTTATCACATTTCATCATCATTTGTGGCCAAGCGCGGAAGTTCATCCTGCAGCAGCCACAACTCAGACATCAAGCGAGCGTGTGTATTGTTACAGGGCAAACTTTGCACGGCATTTTATTTTTCACAGAAAATTTTCAAAACCAGAGAAGCAGAAAGGAGATATACAAAGTGTGGTGGCTGAACGGCGGTGGGAAACAAAACAAATGAAATAGTTTTCACCGAAACATCTATGAATCTATTTTAACTCCACGCAACGGGAAAGTAAACCCCCCGCCCACCTCCTACGCATTTCACAAGTAGTGACTAAGCCCATATCTGCATTTCCCATAAATATGCTAAATTCCTCTTGATATGCAAATTCTTTTGTCAAGGCGCTCTTCCCCCTCCAACCGAGCTTAAATATACGCTCCAAGCTTGGTGGTGTTTTATTCAGACGCCGTCTTCCCGACAGACCTGTTCTTCACCTGAGGACGGCTGATTGCGTTGTGGCCGAAACGTCGTGAGAATTATTTTATTATGTTTTATTTGTATTATTTTATTATTTCCCTTCTACGTGACTTTACCGAAAGAACCAAGAAGAGAATAAAAAAAGTAAAACATGTCACAAACGTACGGGGTCAAGAGACAGTGGCTGTGGGGGTTAAAACGGATAAATCTCACTTATTAACAATTCCGCCGCTCCCTCCTTGCCTTGTGAGTCACTGGCGCGAGACGCCACGAGGGACGACGGAACAGGCAGGTGGAGGAGACAGATGGGGGTCAAGCCGGCAGCGCCCACTTGTTTAACGTGTCCTTATCCATTACGCACAAAGCCGATTTACAAGCGAAACCATTGCCCACTTCTTCAACCGCTGACATTTGTATGAGTTACGACGGCTGAATATTAATACGTCGGGCGCTCGGTTCCGCGGGACGGGGCCGCGTTTGCTGCTTGCGCAGGAGCGTCAAAGTGGAAACGTTCCCCCGAGGGGTAACGATGTCTCCCTCCCATACGTGTGTGCGCCGTACGAAACGTGAAATGTCACCGGGTCACCGACGGTCTGGCAAACAAAGCGCGGTGCGAACCCCCGAAGGCCACGGAGGGACGCAGCCCCTCCCGGCAGGCGAAGAGCGCGGAGGTCGTGACGAGCAATTCGTTTCGTCGGCTCCGGGAATCAATCTTCCCATTGGAGAGCTCATTAATCGATTTAGCGGTGCTTAATTGTCTCTAATTGTGCCTTAGGTACGCGTGTAGTAGTAAAAAAAAATAAAGACGCGTCAAGACACTTAGGTAAATGAAGTGATGAAACTGTTAGGGAAAAAAACACGTCATTACCTAACAGTTTATTTTAAAGTGCGTTTAGTGTAATAGTGGAAGCTATTATTGTAATAATTGTGGCTATGTTGGAGTGTCTAAATATTCTACTGTGATTTGTATGTCATTTTTTTCAGAAATCTGTGTACGTGTTGTACTTTTGTTATTAATAACTGGATAAAATACCCAGACTAAAAACATGTGACCCATTAATGTAATTACGTTACCCATTAGTTACAGCTACATGGTATTAAAAAACCGCCAAATAATGTACAGGCCTTGATTAATGCACAACTGAATGAAGGCTTGCACATGCTGTGTCTGACATGGAGGTTGTTAGACCATGCTTCAGCAGGCTGGTCAGTGTATGTTTGTAAAGGAAATGCAAAGACCAATTCATCAAGAACGGTACTTTACAGTTAACGTTAGCCATGGCTGGGAATCGAACTCGGTTCATCAGATCCATAGCGTAGTGAGTAAATCCTTGCAGCGCCCTTGGGGAGGGTTCCATTTTCATAGCTGTTTTAGGAACCGCATCTGAGATGGTTAGTCACACCCTGATGTGTACTCGAAACAAAATATTAAAAACTAATAAATGCACTTCGTCAAGAAGTTCCCAGCATGTGGAGTTATAAGACCGTCAGACAGGCATCTTTCCGCACATACCAGTAGAGTGATACAGCACGACCGTGAAAACCCACGTGATGGTACACAATGCACTTCATTAAAGCAACGTGCTCAGAGCTGATGAAGACGTAAACTTTGGCAAATATGCCAATTGATTTTTTTTTTTTTTTGAAAACTGGAATGCTGAAAGGCAATCTGGAGATTACATCCAGCAATTCGGCATCATCGGGTGTCAGCGAAAAACGGAGCTCTCGCATGTGAGAGAGAGAGATTGGCTTTCGCTTGCTATTCAACATTTCTCCAGTTTGCTGAAACAAGACGAATCAATTTGCGTATTTGCCCATGTGACAACGCTATTTGATTTGCTCTGTCGGGTGGTAGAGGCTAGTCATTAAAAAGTGACATTATACCTGTAAGATCTAACCCAAAATAAAAACGAATTATGAATAATAGTGGTTATGGAAGCTTACAATTAAAATGTAACCAAGTAGAAATATCTATTGAAAAATTGGCATCACGAGCACAATGTAAAATTACAGCACTGTTGTGCGCTTATCATTGTGCTATCGGCTGTAGATTGCTTTGACAAGAAAAACATTTCTGGAATAGGTGTATTTGAACGCCATGATAAACTACTGTATTAATGAACTACAAGCAGACAAGTCATAATTAACCCAGCACCCGATAAACACGCAACGTTGGCCCACCGCTGGTATGTGGTCGGAACCGTTGCACCAATGTTGGTCCATTGATAGACCAATGTCCCATGTTTAGTGCGAACATAAGAACTCAATGGCCACACACTAATATTCTTATATGAACATTGATTAGTTATGTTAGTTAATTGGGCAACATCTGTAACAACCATATTAGATATGAAACAGCACAGGACATTGCCAAAACTAATTCATAATATAAACCATGGTTTGCATCAAAAAATATATATATTACACATTTTCAGCCATTTGTGAATCCACTACTGAATGAAGGCCGCCACATGCTATGTCAGTTATGGAGGTTGTTTGACTCCACTGCACCACGTTGGTCAATGTGAAAAGGTAAAGGTGGGGTGACCAGGACCACTTGGACGTTAAGACTCGTCCGGGAATAAAACTCAGGTTATCAGGTTCGTTGCGCAGTGCACGAGCTACTAACACCACCACTCGCACACCTTCACGTTCGCCTAATTGCTTTTGCAAAACTTTGTAGGCACGCATGGGAACACATGAATGGAACCAGCCGGCAGGAAAAATTCATTCATAAAAACAGATGCCACATGTACCTGCTCGATGTGGTAATAAACCATTCCGCTCGCCATCAAAAGGAAATTGTTTCACTCTGGCATAGCACAAATGGTAGCAGCAGTAAAACAGGTGAGGATTTATGACCCCACTTGTGTGTGTGTGGCGCTATTACCAACTGCGCCAATTGCTCAGGATGGCCTACTCTGGGCACTAAATTGGGCAGAACAAAGAATATATGGATGGATCCATCAGCTTGATTTGTGTGTTGATCCGAATCGTGACACAACACACCGCATTAATGACACATTTCTGGATCATTGCAGTTATATCGCCAAATGTGTCCAGTTCAATAGATGTTTGTATGTATTTTGAAGCTTGGGTCAACACAACTTCAAGGTGCCTTTGCACATCCGCCCAACTATACTCGTTGAAGGTTTTAGTACAAACAGTGAGCGTTCCTTGCTCCACTGTTTTATTACGCACCTGAGCAAAAATAAACAATTGGGCACGGAACAATAATTATCACACATAACGCGTAGGCCTTCGCGACCAATACCATCCATAAGAGTTTTTTTTTGTGTTAGATCGCGTAAATATATGTGTCGTTAAACCTGCCACCACCCGACACAGCCAACTAGTAAGGGTTGTCGCGTAAACAGAACATGCCAATTCGTCACAAAAAAAAAAACTTCTTATGGATAATCACACATCTCATACAAAATCTTCAAGGAGCATAAAAGCACCATTGCTTGTGGTGAAAAAATTGGTTCACATTTGCAAAAGGTTTGGGCCACCAAGCCAGATCTACGAAGCATTACGCCTAATATCGGTGGCCCCAATGGAGACACAAAATAAAATTATCCAGAGATAGTTTCTTCTTAATTATTCACACATTTTTCAGATATGACGCATCATCTGCTGCGGTGGCAGAACATTCTGCGCATTTATTTGTAAGTAAGCATTCCTTAGTAGTGGTCTTCCAAAAGTGCTAGTTTCATGCTATCACCCACGGTTTTTAGCAGATAAAGGGAAGTGATGCACACATTGTGACAAATGCATCGTATTTTCCCACATTTATTCACAGATATCAGTAGTTATGTTGGTGGATAGGCACAAATAACAGGATCTGGCAAGTGCATACACCTCCATGTAAAAGCAGATAAGAAGTGTGTTTTTATCTCTCACTTCATTTAATTTTTACATTTTTTTCAGAAGCAAACGTTTGAAGTTTGTTTCTCAGAAATGCATTAAAAAAAGTAGAAGTGATTTACTGCTCAAATGAGCAGTGAGGTTTTACTTATCTCCCGTTTACAGCCCTAGGACAGTGATAAAGAAAAATCCACTATCTTACAGCAGGGGCGAGTCTCTCCATGGGACAACCACTGTTCACTCTCCCCACAAAGTGGTAGCAACTTTATCGACCCCTGGAGGGATGATTGGCTGAGTCAACCCTCCAACCAAGATTTGAAATTGCAACACTCCATTTGAGAGCTGCTCGCTCTTCTACCGCTGAGTAACCCAGTTGCAATGTCAATAAGTCAGGTGAAGACGGTGGGGGGGGGGCGTGATTAATTGACAGCTTACCGGCAGTAGTGATCTGGACCTTCCATGGATGTCTGACCATGAGGCCTTGATACCACCTCCACATGTAAGCCATGGCACCGACACTCGCCGGTACTTTTGTCGTCAAGCACCCTGGATGAGTGCACAAAGAACAGGCCGTGTTTATTCGTTCACATATACCACGTGTACATTTTGTTGGTCATGCATGAAAATACAAAACAACCAATTTATGAACGCTGTTAAAGTCTTTAATTAAAACATTTAGATTTTCAATACTGTTGCGGGAAGAGAAGTGGCACACTGCTTAATGCACTGCACTGTGAACCTGGTGACCCGAGTTTGATTTTCAGGCTCGGCTAAAGTCTGAACTACCCCTGGGGGGTACTCTTCATCCAACGAGCAATGACCACCATGGTCAAGAAAGGTAACACAACCGTCAAGACCAGCACAGTATAGGTAGATCATTATTCCAGCAGAGGTTGACATAAATGATGTTCTCATTCTGCAGCACATTGAAAATGTACATGTGGAGATTATACAATTCTTTTTTTACACGCTATTAAATGTCACTAGTCAATCTCCAATAAGATTATGGGATTAGATATCTGATAATAAATTATCCATGCCTGGAGATGTACTACATAGAGGAGGTGTGGTATAAAAATAAATGATGATAAAAAATATATGTTTATTCTATTAAATGTAATTTGAAGTTAAAATAGCAACTGCCTAATTAGTAACTCATAGTAAGATTACATAAGTGGGCAATTACCCTTCTTTAGACACATAAACTTGTAGTTTAACACGTAGGCTTTCGCAACCTTCATCATCCATAATAGTTTTTTTTTATTAAATCGCATAAATATATAAAAGTGTCAATAAACCCGCCACCACCTGACACAGCCAATTAGTAGAGGTTTGTCACGTAAACAGAACATGTCAATTCGTTACTTGTGTAGTGACATAAATTCGGTCACATAGCAGCATAGTGCTGGCTGCTGGCAGGGAAGGGGGTCTGCAGCTTACAGCAGCCCTGACTTGACAGCAGGTCACGTGATAGACCAGAGGGATGTAGGGCAAAGGTTACGGAAGGGGCACACCGAGAACCCGCTAGTAGGTTCCGGAAGGGGGCGTGACCGGGGGCGGAGCCAGGCCATGCTGACAGTATAAGAGGGCCCCTGGGAGAGGACCTCGGGGCTGTTGTTTTGAGTAGGCCTCGGCATGGTAAGGTAATTTACCCTTTTTACCAGGTAAAAGGGTAAAGGTGTCGACATAAAGGGTAGGGTAAAGGTAGGCTCGTTGCTTTTTACCTTTTACCTTACCTGCTAAAGGGTAAAAGGTAGGGTAGAGTGATTGTATTGTGGTAAGGTAAAAGGTAAGGTAAAGGTAGGCTCGTTGTTTTTACACTTTTACCTTACCTTGCCGAGGCCTAGTTTGGAGTGGGATTCCATTGTGCTGCTGGAGTCTTCACCACCGTCTCTGTATTCACCATCTCGGCGTCGCCAGTCAGGCAGTCTACCAGCTGTCCTGACTGGGAACTGTAGTTACCAAGTGTTATCTGTTAAGGCCGTCTTAATAAACAGAGTGCCTCCTACTCTTAGTGTCTCTGAGTCAGTCACTACACTAGTACAGCACACCGGTGTGTTGGAGAGCAAAGCCACAACATTTATAATCTGAGCACGACGTTTCACCAGTAGTTACAACTAGCTTCATCAGGCAACGGCCATATTTATGGAGAAATCCTCCCGTTTCGTTCCTTAGAGGGAGATGCGATGTCACTTGATGACGTCAAGAAGGGTACACAAGTGAAATCATCACATATCTCCCTCTAAGGAATGAAACGGGAGGATTTCTCCACAAATTTGGCTGCTGCCAGATGAAGCTAGTTGTAATTACTGCCGTAACGTTGTACTCAAGATTGTAAAAGTTGTGGCTTTGCTCTCCAACACACCGGTGTTCTACATTAGTAACAAATTGGCATGTTATCTTTACGTGACAAACCTTACTAATTGGCTGTGTCGGGTGGTGGCGGGTTTAACGACACTTTTATATTTATACGCGATCTAACCCAAGAAAGCTGTATTATGGAGTAAATATTTTCCATTGCACCAGTCAGCATTTCACAATGGGGTCCTTATATAACCCATGGTACAATACTGCCACCACAACATCCTCCAACACCCACTTGCAGATACGGACCCCACGTAGACTTGTGGTGGAGTGGTGCACACATTCCAAACGCTTTATATTATCAGTAAGCTCACCGAGCGCCTTATTCAACGTTCCACCTTATCTGTTTTCATGCCAGTCTACGTCTTGCAAAAAATTCTCATAGTGCAATATAATTTTCATTTCATAGCATAAATAAATGTATGTATGTTGAACTTTTGTCGTACCATACGTAGCCAACTGTGCCAACCGTAGGTGCGGGAAACAATTAAGTTGAATCTCAAGTAAGAACAAGCACACCACGGCAAACCTACGAAAACGTGGAGATACCGTATACATTTTTACATGAGATGGATCAGTTATTGACAGAAGAGATGATACAAGTTTTGAGCTGTGATTGAAAAGAGGCAAGTATGGCTATTGGCAGAGAAGTCTAGTCCACATAGGCAGCAGCAGAGAAGATTTCCATTGAGTGAAAGTTGATGAAGGGTGTAAATCAGCGTTCTTCATTGCAAGGCCCGTAGCACAATGGCGGCCCCTGGTGGCCTTTAGTGCGGTCCCCGACAATACACACATGTCAAAAACATCCCATAATGCTGTCAAACCCAATGCTTTCAAATGTGTGGCATGGCAGCCCTCAGACTGTCGGCTCTAGATAGATGGCCCTGGTCATTGCAGAGGGGAGCACATGGAGGAGAGGATAGAAAGCTACGAAGGGGAGATGACACGAATCCATGTAGGATCCTGAAGATAGTACGAGGGTGATTTTGTAATTGACTCGGGACTAAGTTGGGTGCGACTGAAGGGATCAGAGGACTGTGGTGATGTGGCGATGCGGTGAAGATCTTTCAAGTTGTACCACTGTCATTAAATCTCAAACTATTTATGAGCTGTGCTATCCGGTTAATTAGGTAATCAATCCCTCCAGTAAATATCAGTTTGATTACTCGACTTATCGGATACAACGAAAACAGTTTAAAAGTCTCGCATCTGTTCCCACGTGTGCCGCTGGATGGGAGGTGATGGGCGGGGCTTGGTGACATCATCAGCATTGGGGCGTGGGTTGTAGGGGGTTTCCTGCCTTCACGAGGAAGGATGTGGGGGGGGGGGGCAGCCACAATTTTCAACTGGGCTTGAGTAATCGACCACTAAAATGTATCCGATTACATTTTAACGTCAATTAATCAACCAGTGGGTATCTTTTAAGTCTGTACACTTAAATTTGTATTTAAAGCTTTTGTGACTGCAGGGATTCATATTCTTGGTTCTTTCGGTAAAGTCATGTAGAAGGGAAATAATAAAATAATATAAATATAAAAAAAATTCTCACGACGTTTCCACTGCAACACAAGCAATCATCATCAGGTGTGAAATCCACAGCAAGAAAATTTTCTTGCTGTGGATTTATATTTTATATTTATATTATTTTATTATTTCCCTTCTACGTGACTTTACCGAAAGAACCAAGAATATAGTCCGTACACTGTGATTTAATCCCCAACTGGACTGCCGACGATTGTGTTCTTCATTGCAAGGCCTGCGGGCTACTGGGGGCCCTTGGTGGCCTTTAGTGCGGACCCTGACGTGCGGGCCCCCGACAAGACACGACACATGACAACCCCAACATCATCATCATCATCGTGCTGCTGTCAAACCCCCAATGGTTTCAAATGTGTGGCGGCCCTCACACTGATGATGGCTCACAGGGCTATACCTAATAAATGAACTGAACTGATGTCTTTATCAGCGAAAGTGCTCTCCCCCCCACCAACCTCTGAAAATTAGTGAAGAACAACTTTCCTCTATGATAACTGCCGGTTGGTGCCGTGTCATGTCACAGCAATGCCACCTTCTGGCCAAGACCTGACATTGCCCAGCCATGTGCGTGTACACGAACACAAACAAACTAAACATGGATCCGAGATTTGAAGCTTTCGTGACTGCAAGGATTCATACTCTTTGGTTTTTTCGGTAAAGTCACGTAGGTAAAAAATAAAATTTTAATTAAAATTAATGAAAGTAAAATAAAAATTATTAATTTTAATTTATTTTTTACTTACGTGACTTTACCGAAAAAACCAAAGAGCATGAACATGGATCATCTACGGCTCCCAAACAAATCCGGTGCTCACCGGGGGAATTCGTGACCTTGACCACAGTTTACCAATGCCGCCGTGTGAACTTTGTACGAGGTTGAAAACACAAACGAGGGGCAAGCGATAAGCAAAACTTGCAAAAAAAAAGCTTCAAATAAAAAAAAGACATGTTCATTCGACGGCAATACCCAATCAGTGAAAACAAAAATTACAGTGACAATTAAAATTAAGTTACAACTCCTTTAGTCAGTCCACTGCCGGATGAAGGCCTATGGAAGGCCGTGGTCTTGAACACAATTCGCGTTGTGAGATTCATATCAAAGCCACCCCCCCTCCACACTAAAACACATTCCTGCAGAGGGAGCTGGTAGGAACGTTGGGTTGCTCGGTCAATGGCCAGGGTCAACGGCGGCGTGGTGTATTCCGCAAATATGCCCGACTGTGAGGGCGGGCACAAGCCGGCGTGAGTAGGTTAAACGTTGAGTTTTATAAGGGCACCACGGGGTGACCAGCCCCTCCCCACCCAGCCCCACACCCTCCCCACCCAGCCCCTCCCCACCCAGCCCCACCCCTCCCACCCCCACCCAGCCCCTCCCCACACAGCCCCACACCTCCCACCCCCCACCCAGCCCCACCCTCCCCACCCTCCCTTCTCCACCCAGCCCCACCCCTCCCATTTTTGGATACACGACGGACGGACGGACACAATAATCCCCTGTGGGCTGGTGTAACCAGAAGGTTCCTACCAGCATTACGCACTGTGTGGTATTGTGTAGGAGAGTTCCATTTGGTTTCAGCAGAGGGCAGTGCGGCACAGTTAGTTTGGTTGCAAGAGTACTGCACAGCGTTGTGCTGTACACTGCGTAAAACGTCTATGCTCCCCCGGCCTCATCAGCGTGGTGAAGTATGGTCAAACACCCTTCATCCAGCAGTGGATTGCCTTCGCGATTTAAATTAGTACCGCGTTAACGGAGCACTTGTAAATGTTGTTAGCGGGCATCGTACAGAGTGCTGCTTATGCAATTTTTTACTTTATAAGATGTTCGGATATTGTACGGTAATTTGACAAGTGCACAGTATCCAACACGAACTCTGAAGTAGGACCATTGCCCGAATCGTCAGCGTGATAGGACGTACGCATAACTTGATAGCAACGCGAAGCAAATGTTTGGGTTGTTACTGCTTCGTCTTTCGGCATTCGTGTCCGACGTTTCGCTGCACTTGGAACATCAGCGCGTGTCCCCCCCGCCCACAACGCGATCCATCCAGCCGCAGCACGTGCATGGTGCGAAACGTCGGACACGACGACGAGCTACACCACGCAAGTTACAAAGATCCCCCGTGTAGCCTGAACAGACTGTAGGGGCAAGTGCTGTTAGCGAGTAGCACCTATGAAGGCCGGCACTGTGGCACACGAGGGGCTGGGTGGCCAACACCACGCCCGGCCACCTTTGTATCCCCCCCGTGAGGTTTGCGTTGGACGAAGTGACAACGATCCCCCCCCCCCACTACGTTACAGCCTCTTTGGGGGGGGGCGGGGGAGCAAGTGGGGGGGGAGCAAGTGGGACGGGGGAGCAAGTGGGAGGGGGGAGCAAGTGGGGGGGGGAGCAAGTGGGGGGGGGAGCAAGTGGGGGGGGCAAGTGGGGGGGGGCAAGTGGGGGGGGCAAATGGGGGGGGGGGGCAAGTGGGGGGGGGGCAAGTGGGGGGGGAGTAAGTGGGGGGGGGAACAAGTGGGGGGGGGCAAGTGGGGGGGGGGAACAAGTGGGGGGGGCAAGTGGGGGGGGGAACAAGTGGGGGGGGCAAGTGGGGGGGGCAAGTGGGGGGGGAGCAAGTAGGGGGGGCGGCAAGTGGGGGGGGGCAAGTGGGGGGGGGAGCAAGTGGGGGGGGAGCAAGTGGGAGGGGGGAGCAAGTGGGGGGGGGAGCAAGTGGGGGGGAGCAAGTGGGTGGAGCAAGTGGAGGGGGGAGCAAGTGGGGGGGGGGGGGGGGGGAGCAAGTTGGGAGAGCGAGCGACAAACCTACGGGGTGAGACCAGCCAACATCCACAGCGCGCACGCGGTTGTTGTGTTGGTGGTGTTGGTGCGGTCGGCACCGAGTGGCGATATTTACACAACGCACCAACAAACGCGTTCGATGAGGCCCCCCGAGAGAGACGACCTTGCCACCTGACAAACACACACACACGTAGCAGCAGCCGTCGATCTTCTTAAGACGCTGAACAACAACCAGGGCCCGCTCCACGCGTTACACAACGCGGCTGACAGGCTGTAGTTTGCCTGCCACGCGATTCCACATTTCGTAGAGCGCACAAGGCGATCCGAACATCGCGTCCGGAGCACAGCTATTGGACGAGCCAATTGAACGGGGGTCTGCCCCCCCCACACACACTGAGTTTGCTCGAGGGATAATGACATAATATCCTGGTGACTTGGAAGCTCTCCCCACCCCACCCCCCGTGCCAATGCGGTGTGGGAATAGAGAATGGATCGTGATTCCACGTGCCCTTAACGCAGAGCAAGAGACACCCACGTGGTCGGCACGTGGCCGGCGTCCTCGGCGGCGGTCAAAGACGCTGAATGTGTTTATAGAGGGTGGTCCAGATGTCTTGTGACACCCCCTCCCTCCATAATTAAATGAGCCCTATTTTTTTTAACCATCGCGTTGCAATATATATTAATTTATTTTAGGGGCCGTCTATAAATGACGTCACGCGAGTTTTGACACACGGCGTCACAAAAAGTCAGACCCCCCCCCCTCAAATATGACGTCACAAAGCTCTTCCCTCCCCCCCAAAACCATATTTCCATTTTGTAAGTAAAACATTCTTCAAATCGCTTTAGACTATTGTCATTGTAGTGCGTATTTAATGTGGCGCTGCACTCTGATGTTGCAGGAGTGTTATAACAATTAGTGTTGTTACCGAAAGAACCAAGAAGATGAATCCCTGCAGTCACGAAAGCTTTAAATCGAAATTTATTTTCGACCATAAAGTCAAACCGATGAATGAAAACGTTTGGTCGCTTGTGGTGGAATTAAGTGTTGGTAGTCAAAATCCCATCAAGAGCTCCGTCTAGCGGAGGTCCTTCCGCCAGCAGTAGCCTGAACAAGTAATTGCAGGTAAAGTCACGTAGGTAAAAAAATTTAATTAATAAAAGTAAAATAAAAATCACGACGTTTCGGAGGCAACACAAGCTTCCGTCTTCAGGTGGAACCGTCACAGCACGCTTGCTGTATCTACTTAGTAAAGAATTTTTTACCTACGTGACTTTACCGAAAAAACCTAAGAATATGAATCCTTGCAGTCACGAAAGGTTTAAATCTAGAAGTAATTGCAGGGCTGCAACGTTACCTCTTACTCTCAACCCGATGAGCTACTGAGCTGCACAACAGGTTGAGGTTATAACTCGTTTTACCAGTTTTTCCTTGCAAAAAGACTTGCATGTCCGTGAGCCATCGCCTAATGTACGCATAAAAACCAATAACCTGGCAGAGGACGTTATGTTTCGAGATATTTCTGTAAGAAAGTAATCAAGTGGCAGCATCTGAGAGAACGTTAAAACACCACGTGACAATGCGTGACGTAAGTTGATCGGTTCTGTGACAAAGAAAAATATCACTGGCAAAGAGTAAACAACATGAGACCTCCTTTACCAGTGGCAAAATATAGTAATAGGTTTTTACCCCTTCAACTGGTACAAAAACTGACACCTTTATGCAAGGCAACATGTTTGCAATAACCACAACAAAAGCAGTTAAAATGCAAACAAAAAGAAACAACACCAATGGAGACTAGGCTCTAAGAAAAGCTGTCTCGGGTGTGGACCAATCAACTTCAAGGACAGTGCATATCAGGGTAAAAACCTTTTACTATAAAGAGTAAACAAAACAATGCTCCCCCAAATTTTGATTACAGGTCCCCATTGCAGATAATTTCTCTCAAGCTAGTTCCATTAAGGATCGCAATCTGTGGCTGCCGATATTAACAGCTCTTCGTCATTAATTACATTTTCTCTAAATTGCCCATGCACTCAATTCCTTATCAAGATGTTTCAACCCAATATCTCCTTTTCATTGGATGAAAATAAAGATTTCTTAGATGAAATTAGATATCAAGTTGTATTTAATTAGTTTAAGCCAGTTCACTCCAATCTGAAATTAGTTAAATGTTTTAGCATTTAAAAATGAGTTTTTATTTAAATTCTCCAATAGCTTGTTAATAATCTATATTTTTGAATATGAAGTTCAAAGTGTTATAGTTTGCACTTGCTCTCAATCTAATCACATTTCGAAATACATTTCTAGGGAAAGCACAAATGTTTTAAAATGAATATCAGCACAATCATATATTCCAAACCTTTTTTTAATTAAAAATGCAATACATGACTTGAGCACAATGTATCTTAGTCGTTTTGAAAATTACTCAAACCAATCCACCAGCAATAGCAACATTTCAGTTTTAAAGCAAAACAAACATGCAAAGTGCTGCAACAGTATACCACGTACCAATGCTAAGTGAAGGTAAAATGAACAGCCTCTGAAACCAGCAAAATGTATAAATACTATAACCAAACAGCATGCTTATAAATTACACCCTATGAAGAAAAATATTATTTACAATGCTATGCTGAATATGCTGAGCAGACATCATCGCAAATTAAAACAGGTCCTATTTTAGGACAAATGAGAAAGCAGACCAAGGGAACTCCATAGTATATTCTCAAGACTCTTTTAACTAGATATCCCCTTTTTACCTGGATTGAAAAGATCACAAGTTGGAGGATGGAAGAAAGCAACTCGATAGCAATATACTGGGCAGCAGTAGAGTGCTGTTGACGGACTGTGATGTAGCTTGACAGGGGAAGTGGGTAATGAGATGAGATGGTATGGTGCTACATCGTGTTCAACAGTGAGAGGTTTGAGTGTGAACTATTTGACTTGACAATGGACTTGCGTGTTGTTTTTAGGATTACATAAAACACCCTCCATTGTACTTGTCAGTGGCAATCATAGCCCCTTCACGCAGTTGCTTGTGTGTTCTGTTTTTGTTACATACAAACATATTCTTGGTTCTTTCGGTAAAGTCACGTAGAAGGGAAATAATACAAATAAAACAATACAATTATCACGACGTTTCGATTGCAACACAAGCAATCATCATCAGGCGTGAAAACCACGGCAAGAAAATTTTCTTCTTGCTGAGAATTTTATTGTTACATTTTTTTCCCTTCTACATGACTTTACCGAAAGAACCAAGAATATGAATCCCTGCAGTCACGAAAGCTTTAAATCGAAACATACAAACATGTTATGGTTGAATTGGAACAGAGATGTAGTCGACGCCTTGGATGATGCAGTGTGCTTGTTTCATCTTTCCCTTTAGAAGTCTTGCTCGTCATCATCCTCGTAATATCCACACCAATCGGCCGGCGCATCCGTTCCAAAGTACCGATCTCCAAAGTTACCTGAAACCCACAACGATGACACAGACACATAAGGACACGAAGGAGGTGACCACTCATGATTTGGTAAAAACAACACGACATAACAATGGCCCATTAAGAATTCTAATCAATGTGTAGAGAAGTTCCCACGGACGTACTCAGAGACGGAGGTAAGTTAAGGGCTTTCGCCATGGTTTATTAAAGCTTATCAATAATACACAGCAGGGTACACAACTCCCAGGGGCTAGGGGTCCTACTCTGAGTCCGGGTCCCTGCCGGCTAGCTCCGGTCTCTCTCTCTCTCGTGTCGGATCGTGGACTCTGCCGACTCCACCGAGCGGAGAGAGAAGCACCTCTACGGCTACCACCGGCTTCTCCCCAGACTCACCACTCGATCCCTCTCTCTACCCCTGGTTCCCTCTTCACCCTGCTTACTCTACCCGTTCCCACAGTGACCCCGCTTACGTCACGGGGTCTCCCTTAAGTACCCTAGGAGACGTGACGTCATCGCACTGAACGGCACACCTGACGTCACGTCCCCATTTTACTCCTCTACAAATGTACTATTTTTCTACATTTACCACAAAAAGTCCATTAACGCTACAGTGGAAGTCTAATAAAGCATGAACGTAATTACACAACGCACTTTGCAAACAACATCAGCAAGGCAGGTCCACATGTACCCGGGTCACAAAAGTTACCCACCTATTCCGGGAATGATGTGGAACTTGTCGTTGACTTTCTTGTCCACGGCCGTGGTGATGATTTTGACGCTGGGGAAAGCGTAGGCCACCGAGTGTACGCCCATCTCCGCCATCAGCAGTGACACCAAGAAAATCTTGTCCTCACACACATCGTGATCCTGTACATCAACAGCACACGGTAACAAAGATACACACTTGCAAAACGCACAACTGATTTAACAGTGCAGATGTAATAACAGCCATAGAGGGTTCGCGTGGGGATTGGCTTGCCGGTCCTTCTCGTAGCCAATAAGGGTTGAGATAGGGACCATGGCCCATGCGTCATCACGACAGGTCATCAGAAGTGATTGGCCTAGCCATTCGGGGCCCCAGCTAATGGGGAGCCGGATGAGGGGCGTGGTCCCGGGATTGACAGGGAACCATCGAGAATGGTCGAAGCTGTCCATACACGATTGGCTGGGGGAACCACGTGACGAAGGTCTTAAGAGCGAGTGAGAGGGAACGATCGAGAGCAGACTGAAACTAACAAGAGCAGGGTCACGCGCGGACGGGGCCTCGGGTTGCCACGTGCGCGGAGGGGACTTAGTGCGTAGTCTGTCCTCTCTCCGTTGTCTGCCAGCAACGGAGAGTGAGTGAGGAAAGTGTATGGTGGAGTGGAAATAAAAAGGACTGATTCCGAAGCCGTCTCCTGGAAGATTATTACACAATAATACACAAGACTGGTGTTGCTTTTTGCATCGAATAGGGCCCCAGAGTATACATGGAGTGCTTTTGTCAAAGATGTCTGGCAACTCAACAACATTTGTTTAACACGTCTATTTCTGCTGGTTACACCCAGAAGGTCAAAACCAGCTCAGAGTTTGTTTTCTTTAAACAATTCTGCTGGAAGATGTTGGTCTCGAAAGCCAGTAGGCCCGATGGACTAAAGCATATTTTTACATGTGCAAACACAAAACAGAGTTCTTATATACGCGAATACACTTTGGGGCTGGACACCTATGAAAAAACACTTCATAGATCATTGGGTTCTACGCGAACAAATAAAATGTCTACGTCGAATCGAAAAGCAAGGTGCATTGTTGGTATTACCAGCAGAACGCGGATGGCCATCAATGCAGCAGCTCCCGTGGAGACTGTACAATCCATGAGCATCACGTGGTCTTCACTGATGTCCTTGGGAAGCCTCAAGTAGTGCAGCTTGCAGAAGTAAAGTGGCGAAGCAACAAAAGGCTTAATCATGAGCAGAAGGCAAGTCATGTTCAGAAGTCATATAAACAGCGGTGCTGTTGTTGAAGAGTTTATATATTCACGAAACGCTTTATTACGTTATTGGTTAAATTGCCATTGTTTGTAATGATAAAACAATAATCAAGCATTATGAAATGTACTGCAACCCAGAAAAAAGTATTGTACACTATTCAAATTTGTATACATATGTAGGGAAGTATAGGCGTGTTTTACGGTCAGCATCAATACCACTGCATAAGTTTGATGTCCGACGTTTCGCTCCGTCTGTTGGGGACTTCTTCAGGAACTTCCAGCATGCGGAGCGAAACATCGGGCGTCGTGCCGAACAACAAAGCATTACAACACGAAAACACATTGAGGAGTGGAAATGAATGTCGATGTTTTCTTAGCAATTTGGTTACTGGCAGTGACTTGTGCCCAGAGGTCGCAATCGGGTACCCGATACCCGTACCCTACCCGATACCCCGCGACCCGTACCCGGCCGGGTACGGGTACCCGTTTGCGACCCTGGTGCGGCCGGGTATGGGTAGGCCGTGAGTCACTGGTGAGTAACCGTTTGTCACTCATTTCCCAACGTCTTGTCTCTTCTCACAATTCAAGTTCCTAGAATGAACCCACCCGCGCCTGCAACATGGCTTCACCCCAGAGGTCGCAATCGGGTACCCGATACCCGTACCCTACCCGATACCCGGCCGGGTACGGGTAGCCGGGTATTGGGTAGGGTACGGGTACCCTTTTGCGACCCTGGTGCGGCCGGGTACGGGTACGGGTAAGGAATCAAAACTCGTTTGCGACCTCTGCTTGTGTCACACCAGCTCCAGGATGAAATGCGCGTGGGGTCATGTTGGGTACCTCGGGCTCGCCTGTGGCGTGGTTGGTTTGGATGAGGATCTTGCCGAGTCGGATGTCCTTGCACACGGCTCGCAGCGCCGGCTCCATGGTCTCTCCGGCTCGCAGGATTGACACCCCCGTGATCTGAGAGAACATAAATTGGTGGCACATCATCTCGTTCAGGGGTCGGCAAACCTGCGGTTCCGGAGCCGCATGCGGCTCTTTAAGGACGGCAGTGCGGCTCTTAAAATTCGAAAAAATATATATTTTTTTGTTCTTTTGGTTCCCGACCCCTGACCATGGAAGTCCAGTTCACCGTGGAAGTCCAGTTTACCATGGGCAGGGGTTGCCAACCTGCGGCCTCGTTGCCGAATGCGGCTCATTAATGACTGATTCGAAAAAAATGTCTCGTCTTGTTGTTTTGGTTGATTTTATTACACCTAACAATTGTGTCAAACTGAAAATTACTGTTCGTCATTTGATATCTAACACATGTTATCATACTATTTGTCCAAATTGTATTCCTATTGTGCCATAGGCATCATATCATGAGATAAAGTATTCATTCTGAGCTTTGCAGAGCTGTGTACCACCCATTGTATTTTAGAAGGCCCAAAGAGAGTGACATTACTGAAATGTTCGAGTCCTGCTCATAAGACAGCACATACAAATATGCAATGCTAGAGAGCGATGAAGCCATCAAACCGTTATTTTAAATTCTCAGAGCTCGAATTTATCCAAAGTAGCAAAGCTAATTAATTGTGATTGGTTTAACTAGTGTAATCAATCAATTTGGACTTGACTGTGTTGTGAAAATGTAACTTACTCGCTTTCCATCAAATTTGCGCCCTTCGTACATTGTTTGTTGGTACGTTTCCACAGACATGTCCTGTGGATGCAGAATGTTAAGAGAAACGGTTTGTGTGCATTACAACAAAGATGTCAAGTTAATGTGCACACATTCAAAGTAAGCCTGGTACCAGGCATAGAGATATATTAAATGTACGATTTTAAGACAAAATGTAAATCTTCGTGAAAAACATAAAATAACATTGCTACATTGTCCTCCATGTACCTTTACAGAGTGTGCATGGTAACTTCATGCAGTTAACTGTGCTGCCACGCAGTAAAAATAACGGCCAAGTTCGTACACCTACCCGAAATGGTAAAAATGACAAGGCGTGCTCTATTAACAGTCGCATGAGTCTCTTGGAGTAGAAAATAAACTCGTCTCGGCTTGTATCCTTGCTTCTGTAAAAGATAACATGGTGCAATAGAGGTACAGATTAAGCATAGGTTATAAGTAGAACTTGCATAATTACATGGTAGGACCAATGACTTTAATAATAACAGCCGTTAGGGGGCACTGCAATACTTGTCATGGTGACTAGCACATATTTCGTCTTCAGATTCTCAGTGACACTACCTAGAGCAGGGTCTCCAAACTCCAGTCCTTGCGATCCACCATCCTACGTCTTTCGATGTTTAGCAATGTACTGTATAAAAAAAAAATTACTAGTTCCACGCCGCACACGCCCGTTGATAGTTAAGCACGTCCCACATCTGCTTTAACAAAGCCACTTAAAATTAACATTGAGATCTATGTATGAGTGTGTGCAAGTGTGTTCCACGCCGCACACGCCCGTTGATAGTTAAGCACGTCCCACATCTGCTTTAACAAAGCCACTTAAAATTAACATTGAGATCTATGTATGAGTGTGTGCAAGTGTGTTCCACGTCGCACACACCCGTTGATAGTTAAGCACGTCCCACATCTGCTTTAACAAAGCCACTTAAAATTAACATTGAGATCTGTGTACGAGTGTGTGCAAGTGTGTTCCACGTGTGCATGTACGCACGTGCTCCACGTGACGCAGACGGTGTTAATTGCTTAGCGCGTCACGCGGGACGTGTTTAACAATCATCGGGCGTGTGTAGTGGAGAAGAAGTTAAGTTGTATTTGAATGGAAGTAAATTTGTAAACGTGGAAGGATGTAGTGCGGTGGGTCACGAGGACTGGAATTTGGGAAACCCTGACCTCGAGTGGGAGTTAAGAGCTCCAGCACATGGGGCCATCAACACATGCAAAACCCATTGGGTACAGCTATCATCACATGCATCACCCGATCCATTATCACCATCAGCCGTGATCAATCCACTGCAAGATGAAGACGTTCCCAAGCCATTTGGATCTCACACAGTTCTGTGAAGTTAATTCGTGTCCATTATATCACCTTAGATCAGCGAACAACACTTGTAGGCATAGGCCCGAGCGCAGTCAGTAATTTTGCTTCACAATCATAAGCTGAGCACAGCTCCTCTAACAGATGTGGGCATCGTCTACTCTTCGCCGCAGTTCTGTGATGTAACAACCACCTAGCATCAGCACGCGAGCCGATTCCATTGCTCTATCTCTGCTATGGAGGTACCATGGGGCACGTTCTCTCCCTTGGTTGCCGTTGTGCCGATATTCTCAACATTTTTAAATCCTTTATATTAAGTTCACTTGCTTGCGCGCTTACGACCGTGCAAATCTTTCGGTCGTTTTTTAACCCACTTCCCGTGATCCAAACGAGCTGACATTTTGCACACAGACTCGTTGTGCGTGACAATTTATTTTCGTGAAATTTTTTTTTCCAAAATTTTCCACTTTTTAGGATTTTTTTCTTTTCATATTTCATTTAAAATACCAATGTGATCAAAATGAAACTCTTACTCAAGAAAAACTGAAATGAATAATAAAATAAAACCGATGCCACGCATATAAAGGATTTATAGTGAAAAACTTTGTTTTTACGGGTTAATTTTTCTGTACCTCAATGTGGGGTAATTGCACCACCTTGAATGCGACAATAATTTTATAAACCGCAGAAATCTCACCCACTGCACAGTTAACGCGCTGCTGCTACGCACTGTCGTCGTGTGTCCGCAGGTTGGCATGCCGATGGTGGAGTTGGTGCGGCACGCGAGGACCGTACCGGATGATGGTGTGCATGCCGCGGACTTGCGGCGAGTTCTCCAGCACGTTGAGCGTCTCTGGAAGAGGCTGCGCTTGGTGGGCAGACGCCAGTGCTGCCCTAAGCGAAACCGAAAGACAAATAATGCAAGTGAGCCATCCACAGGCATGGCCAGTTGCTTAGGACAAGGGCATCCTTGTTAAAAACTTCTGCATCATTCGGAAGCACAAATAGATGTTTTATTTACCATACACATAAACCTATAAGACCTGTGTCAATTAAGAGTACTTTTTAAAAAGTGGAATGTGTATCAATTAAAAGAATACTAATTCAAGTCTTCAATAAAATGGAAATTTAAATGATTTCAAAAGTGTTTTTATTCTAAACAAGATCATTTTCATTACAAACTCTATGCCATCAGCAAAGCTTTAACGCAGAAGTTTTTAAATAGGATGAAGTTTAAACCAACATTGTATGTTCAGTCTGAAAAAATGTGTTTGGACGTCCAATCTTTACAGTGAAAATCGAAACATTTTAAGAATGTTTGGATGAATTTACTCAGAGAAAAATGCTGCTTATTTAATGATGCAATTCTCGCTTGAGATAAAATTTATATTTCACAATTTTCTGCTCAATTTCATTAACACGTTTTTTCAGTTCTACAATACAAAATAAAAAAGTGTAATTTAAACAGAAACTTATCCACATATTTCACATGCAATCTAACAACATTAACTTCACCCATCTGGTGGTGCATTGAATACAAATTGTTCACGGTTATAATTATTTTACGTGTGTTTTTTCAAACAATGTAAAAATATTTACATAAAGTAAAAATGTACTACAGCATACACCATAGATACGATTCACCATACCAACATTTTATTTACTTTGCGCATCATGATCCTGATCCCTGTCTCGTTTTTCCCAATAAAAGCCTAAATTACAGACGTAAATTCAAACTCACTTGAAACAACGAGGCAATGTACCGCCAGATGAGTACCATGATAATTTAAAATGAAACCTTTACACAAGTGTTCTTCCACAAGTGGGTTAACCATAATGCCATGTCATTTTTTAAATACTAAGGCGATGACTGCTCTAACATAAAAAGCTTTACATTCAAGGGAATTTTGTTCAAACGCAAAGTGCCAATGGCAGGCCGTTAATAAGGTGAGCAGTAACCTATTGCAATCTATTAATACGTTGAAGTAAATGCAAACGGTTTATAAAATAACAGTGCACATGGCTATCCCACTTGTTTATATGGAGAACACATCTCGGTTACTTTACTTGTTTTAGTTCGATGAAATCAACAATGGAAATAATCAAATGTCATTTATTATTCGAAGATAATCTTGATTTGAAGCTTTCGTGAATGCAGGAATCCATACTCTTTGGTTCTTTCAGTAAAGTCACGTAGGTATAAAATAAATAAAATAGATCACGACGTTTCTGGCGCAACACAAGCATCCGTCACCAATGCATTCCCACCTGATGACGGATGCTTGTGTTGTGCCCGAAACGTCGTGATCTAATTTATTTTATTTTATACCTACGTGACTTTACCGAAAGAACCAGAGTATTCGAAGATACTTAAAAATGTGCGCTGGTAGGTTGACTTGCAACACAAATCCATGATTAAGTACGGCACTGCGCCAATTTTGCACAACGCCCACCAACTTTTTTTCGTAAGGTAAAACCACATGTTGATTTCGTCAGCTCTTACTTAACTACCAAACTACACAGCATACAACACAATACAACACAGAAAGATCGAGTACGAAGATATTTTGTAAAGATAATCAATATTGTGGTAGGTCACAAAAATAATAAAGGGGCAGAGAGATTATAAAGAATTAGTTATAATTGTGGAATTTAAGGCAAAAACAAAGTATGGTCACAGGAATATGTCTCACTGAAGGGGGGGGGGGGCAAAATCAGCAATCACAAATCTCTTGCAGAGCTGTTAGCATGTTCAGGCAAGTCAGGAACTGCAAACCTTTACCAACATGTGCAGTCATAAAAAAAAAAACGCTAGATGGTTAATTTGTTTTCCAAATCAACGCAAAAATTACTTTCCAAATTAGTTAACGATTACCAAATTTCGTGATGTGATTAATTCATGCGCCTCGTTAATTTAGTGCACAAGGGCCATAAAGAGAACAACCAAAAGGGCATTTGTGTAGTATTAAAGAATATGCAAATTCTCTCACATATCCCAGCGAAGTTTCCTCTGTTCAGTTGGGTAATATTCAGAGCGGGGTTATGGAAGAAAATATTCATGGTAAAAAACAAACACAGAGAACACAAATAGGACAAATACATTAGGCTGCTGCCTGTACTTGACCAACAGAGTGAGGTGGTTCTCCTCTGGAATTCCAGGTGGATGGAACACAGCTTGATACAACTATTTACATGTTGCACTACCGATTAATTCCCCACCACCACACCCATGCACCGTAGTGATGACGCTTCAATTTGAGACATAAATTAGCGTGTGTTCCATTTAAACCTGAAACACCCGAAGAGAAATACTGGGAATCCCCTATAGGCAGCAACATTATACAATTACTAAACAGCACAAAATGCAGGCAGATGTAGTAATTATTTCATTGGAAATGCAAACGGGATGTTGCGCGGTTATTTTTAGCATTGATGATTAGTATTTTTTAAACCAGAGCTTGTAATTGAATGAAATGAAAAAAACTACAAAAAAACAAGACAACTTGGGTGAAACTGCTCATAAATGCATTTGACCTGCCAACATTTTTCACTGGTTTTTCTAGACAAAAAACACCTCGGAGAAGACAACCAGGAAAAGAACGTGTCTTCAGGTATGCTCTCCTTATGCCACAAATAAAATCGCACTTATCGCTATGAATCAGGTGCAGCGTAAGTGCGTTTTCATATTTTCACCCAACATTCTTTAACCATGTTACGGCACACCTGAGGACCAGTAATTCCTAGCTATCCTCTCTGCCATATCGCAAAGGTAAAATCAATTCTGTACTTTACCATGGTAGCATACCTCACACTGCTCTCACGCTGAGATGGTTACAGAAACAATTCGGTCAGGGTTTAGCAAGTGTGTCACACATCACACATGGGGAGAAAGAAAAAAAATGAAAAGTTGCACTAATTATTTACGGACTCTTTCACAGCACACAGTAGTTCAATGATCTGCCGTACTTTGTATGCAATCACGTAACAGCAATTTGGATTTAAATACGTACACACTAATCCAAAGTGTAGCATATTCAAAATCACATTCATAATCTGTAAACATGTCTATGCATGCCTGTACACATGCTCATATACTGTATTATATTACGACTGCATATGAGAATTTAACTTTATGAAAATTTACATTTTACGCATTCAATTCTCAATATACAACAAAGTATGGCATGTGCTGAATGAGTGTGCAATGCATAGGTAGTACAAAAAAAGATTACACTTCGACATTGCAAATAAGCGAGTCAGGCAAAATATGATCATTTAGATTCCACTGCTGCAGAGGCTCAGGGTCTCTCCTTGCACAAGAGCTTTTTAAAATGATATTTGTTCGCATTTCTATCCAATGAAAGAACGTATATTTAAAATCGTAATGGAAGCTGGAAGACACTAACCATGTAAAGTAAAACAGTATGAAAATAACATTCGGTGTTGACTACAGTCCCTTATTTATCATAATAATTTCAAATTATAACGCGCATAATGTTCACTTGCTCTCAAAGAGAGAGACTACTCAGGCGAGGGAACCACAGACAAGTGGCAGAGGCAGTTAGGCGGTGAGCTGCTTCCAAATACCCCCAAGGTCTGCGGCCCTCTATAATTACCAGCGAAACGTCGTACTCAAAAACTGTAAATGTTGTGGATTCACTCTTCAACACACCGGTGGGCTAAAGTAGTGAACTATTTTTCTTTTGTCAACGTGACACTTTTTTGCTGATTGGCCGTGTCGGGTGGTGGAGGGTTACGACACATTATAAATAACGCGATCTAACCCAAAAACTTTATTATGAATAATATTGGTCGCGAAAGCCTCCGTGTTAAACTGGCCCTCTATTCTACACAGTATATATATATGTTTTAAAGTGTCATCAGCCATTTAATGTTTACATGTGGGAGGAAAGCGGAGCACCCGAAAAAACCCACGCATGCCAGAAGGCAACACTCTCTATCCCATACAGAAGGAACAAGTGGAGTCCACGCATTGCTCTACTGCCTTCTCCTGGCAAGCGAGGGTATGACACCTTCATGCCCACACAAAGGGAGTGTCACAAAATTTGGTTGATCCACCGAATCTTCGCCTCCAGTGTTGGATTAGAAGCATGCGCCATCACCGCCCGGCAGATGACAGCCCATTGGGACTTAGTGTCTCTCTATGTGGACTAGTGGCTAAGGACATGGTATTTTAAGCCAGTTTCAGTTTGCTTTTACTTTCTATGAAGACACAAACATAATGCGTTTTTCTGTGGTATGCCGATGTCAAATGGCGCACAAAAATACGTGGTAAAATACAATTGTAATTAAATGTCCTTTAAAATTGAACAAATGCAACTTCCACGGTGATAGTGAACTCACATCTCATTTCGATGCAAGGCAAAAGCTTTACACAAACAACAGGGAGAGAACTGAAATGTACTACATCTGCAGCATTTTAGTGTGGCCTTTAAACACAACCTACAGCAGCCCTATCTACTTTGTCAAACAGCAATTAAAAAAAGAACAACAACATGCAACTGAAGATTACATTGTCGATTTAAATTTCAAAGGCATGCAAACGACAACAATTAAATTTAAAAAAATCAACTAATTATCGCACAATTACTCAAAGGCATCTTAATCTAGTGTGAACTAAACTGAATTAAATTACAGAGAACAGCATGTTAATTATTCAAAGTTGCTTTTCAACAAAATTTCTAAATCAAGGGATTTAATTGCGCGCAAGTAAAAAAAACGACCGGGTTTTTGTTGCTTTACTTTGCCCGTGCGTACCTTCTCGAGCTGACAGTGAACGTGCTGTACGATGAGTTCAAGGGCAACGTTATTCTCACCACCTGCAGAAAGAGGGGAGTGGGGGGGCAGCAGCAGCATAGTGAGATCACAATCCATTACAGTGCTGGCTAAAGCTCCCAACACGAGGCGGCTAATCCACATTCTTCTTCTGGGGCTCAAGGTCAGCGCTATCAGCCACTGCTTAAAACAACGTGAGCAGCACGATGCTCCCTGTGGTATTATGGTTAGTACACCGATTTGCAATTCGAAGATCCCTGGAAAGCGCAATCCCCCCCCCCCCGTCCGCCTTTGTCCACACGGCACGACCAGTGGGTACATCGTAGTTAGTCGATCGGCTGGTTGCGTGCAGTGGGGTAGAAGTGTGGGTTAGTCCCAACTCTTCAGTAGGGTAAGAGTGTGGGTTACTTCCAACTCTTCAGTGGGGTAAGAGTGTGGGTTACTCCCAACTCTTCAGTGGGGTAAGAGTGTGGGTTACTCCCAACTCTTCAGTAGGGTAAGAGTGTGGGTTACTCCCAACTCTTCAGTAGGGTAAGAGTGTGGGTTACTCCCAACTCTTCAGTAGGGTAAGAGTGTGGGTTACTCCCAACTCTTCCAAGACGTCTGGCCAGCATGGGAGCGTAGGCCATCATAACCTCTTGAGGTAATTGCAGGGCTGCACATTGATCTTTGACCAACACGATAACCAATAGAATGGGGTTCATCCTAAAACACAAAAAGTATCCTTAGCTCCATGCTCATTCAAGTAAAATATCATACCATACCGTCCAGTAATATGTTATTTATACAATAATATATCAGCGTAGTCAGCATATATTAACTAAGCTATCAAGACCACTGTATTATGGTTTAACATTTTAAGTGTTCTATGTTTGAAATTGCTGTTTTGGTTCATAAAATGCCTCATGAATTGCAGCATGTATGGATCGGAGTATTTCATTTTTTATTGCCAAAAAGCACCATTTAGTGAAAGTAAAATTTTACTCGTGTCATTTGAGTCAAAACCATGTAAAAAAAAAACAATGTAAAAAAAAAAACAATGTAAAAAAAAACACAATGTAAAAAAAAACACAATGTAAAAAAAACACAATGTAAAAAAAACACAATGTAAAAAAAACACAATGTAAAAAAAAACACAATGTAAAAAAAAACACAATGTAAAAAAGACTGACTTTATTGAGCCAATGAAACGTAAAATGAAACCCATTTACTTAATATGATGTGGGCTTGTTGTGCACCATCATTTGTGACCACAACAATAAAATATGGACCATATCTTGTGACGCACCAAAGAGGCTCCTGATGTAATCAGTAAAATGTGTCCGTTATAATGACTTTTATTATTTTGCTTCATAAAAAACATCACTGTGCTGAAGTGGTTATGTGATCACAGAGAGCAATTTTACATCATCCTTTGAATACAACAAAAAGATAACAATTTTGCCCGAGGGATGAATCCCTGGCAATTATTCCTAAAATGCTGTTGACAGCATAGGAATATAAACGTGCTTACAAGTAACCAGAGTAAATACAATTATTTGAAAAATAAATTAGTGGTTCAAACCAGTAAGACTATACAATCAGTGTAAAATAGTATAAAATGAATTGTTTTCTGGTAATGGAGACATCTGCATATGTAAAGCACAACACAATACAGACTGGAAAAAGATGACGTGTTAAAACAACCTCTAAGGACTCAATTGCACGCTATCTCCTAGTAACTGGCTGGACAAACGCTGAAGCAGCACAATTCTTTGAGAAGCTATGCTTGTCACTGTGCTACTGTGCTGAATTACATAAACTGGGGCAGGTTAGTGACAGCCTGCACTGTGCACCACATATGACTTGGATACATTTCATGCCCAAAGTATGTACATTATTGTTGCATATTCTGCACAAGATGAACCAAAGATGTACACTATTTATAACCACTCAGTTTTTTTGTACTCTTGAGTGTTAGATTCACACAAAGCAAATCAACGTTTTTCAGACTGCAAACAACTTACAGCTGTGATCGGAATCACATAATCCCCTCCCCATTATCATTGGCACTGTTATACAGTAGTAAATACAAAAACAAAGGACAACAATAACTCTTACGGCTTAGTCTGAGGCGGAACCAAACTGTGTCGGCTGGGGCTTCACAAGGGATCTGAATTCTGGTTTGAAGCCAAGCAGGGCCGAAGGCCCTGCTTGGCTTCAAACAAAGTATGTCTCACTGTGCGAAAGAAGTTCGACATACATACATGTTGAACTTCTTTCGCACCGTACGTAGCCAACCATGCTAATCGGAGGTGCGGAAATATATACATTCCATAACCAATCTCCGCCATTGGCCATCAACCCTTTCGAGCGACGAACCTGGGTGCACAGAGCTTTAGCTATGACAGCAGCAAAGCAGCCTGTGACCAAAAGCACCTTCAATATTAAATCTAGAATGAAAACTCATTTCTTTAGGACTGTTTTTTGTGTTAAGTTTGTCCTCCCTCCCCCGCACCTCCGATTAGCGCGGTTGGCTATGTATGTCTGCGGTAAAAGTTCAACGTATGTACATACATTTCAACCCCCAACAGGTGGCCACAAGAAAGCGAGAACACAATTTAGAGGGTAAAAAAAGAGTCCAAATAGCGTGCCCTGCGTGCCCACCTCGTGGCACGACGATGTCGGCCAGCTGCATGGTGGGCTCGATGTACTGCTCGAACGCCGGCTTCACAAACTTGTTGTACTGCTTGATGACGCCGTGGATGTCCCGCCCGCGCTCCGTGATGTCCCTCCGCAGGCGCCGTACGAGACGAATGTCCGAATCGGTGTCCACAAACACCTTCATGTCGAGCAGCTGGGTAGCACCGAGAACGAACGGCATGAGCCGATGATTAATTTGTGATGGGTCGTTGCCGTACACGCGCGTGTACGTACGCCGTGGAATCAATGTGATGTACGGCCATTTTGTCAATTCACTGCGGAATAAGTTCCTCTGTGCAGGGTGGTGAATGCAGAAAGCTTAGATGTTGGAGTATAGAAATACAGTACAGTTCTATTTGCACTGCCCAACACATAGCCCCATGAGCCCTATTACAACCTGTCTCTTCACAGCAGTCACCCATTTAAACACTAGGTTTAACCCTGCTGAGTTTCCAATATCTAGCGCATTCTGGGTTATTTGGTCATAGGCTACACAAGAAATAGGTTCAAATGGATGATTTCTATTTTTTATGTTTCCATTGAACATTTATGGCACGTGAATAACATTTACTCATGAGTCCAAAGTCCACCTGAAATAAATTCTGCTAAACTTAGTCGATTACGTGCAGTATATGTTAATTAACTAACGATTGTGAATCAGTGGACTACGAGTAAGCTTACCTTCAGGAGCTCTTTGTTTGCAAATGACAGGATACCTTCAAATATGATTACATTTGCTCCGTACACCGTTTTCTAGAAAACATTAAAAGTACAAGTCGTTAGACATTTAAACCATCTCTCGGTGTAAGAAAGATTCAAAACATAGTTACATATCATAAACAGCCTGTAAGTGTAGGATGTTTTTTTCCTTCTATCCTCACTTCGTTGGCATCTAAGAATGACTACTTCATGAAATGCTGTGGTATGCATCTGAGCATGGCACGGTGTGCAATGTGCAACTGGCATACCGATTCTTTCCTCCGACTGTGCGTGGTGAAGTCGTAGATGGGCACCTTCACACTCTTTCCCTTCTTCAACTTACGGAGAGTGCTGATGATGAGTTCAAAGTCAAACGCATCTGGGTGGTCAAAGTTGTATTCACTCTTTGCAGCCATCTCCTGCTCCTCTTTGCTAAAAATCTGCGACCGTGAACAATGCTTTTAAGTAAAATGTCAAAGTGCAACAAAGTTGGCGATAGTAATAGGTTTTTACCCTTTCAACTGGTACAAAAACTGACACCTTTATACAAGGGATCATGTTTGCAATAACCACAACACAAGCAGTCAAAATGCAAACAAAAAGAAACAACTCTGATAATGATACGCCTTTTGCCGTCATCTGGTCCAACACCAATGGAGACCAGGCTCTAAGAAACGCTGTCTCGGGTGTGGACCAATCAACTTCAAGGACAGTGCATATCATCATTATCAGAGTTGTTTCTTTTTGTTTGCATTTTGACTGCTTGTGTTGTGGTTATTGCAAACATGATCCCTTGTATAAAGGTGTCAGTTTTTGTACCAGTTGAATGGGTAAAAACCTATTACTATATTTTGCCACTGGTAAAGGAGGTCTCATAGTGTAAAGTTGGTGATGTAAAAGTGACACAAGTGTTACACCGCACTATCTATACGCACTAGGATGAGGGTCACCTGGGTAACCACAGATGAGCGTGTAGAACCAGGATATAATGGAACAAAACCTTGGCACGAAAGCTTGTTTACACTTTTGAATATTCATGTCAGTTACAAAGTAACCATTAACTTACTCAATGGACTATTAAATGAACATTTGAAATAACTATACACATTGGATAATATTAATGATACTTTGATGTATTTAGAACTTTGGAGATTGCACAGAACGTTTGAATTGAGTTGCTGTTTAATCATAGTCTTTGCATTGAAAGGGCGCTTTATGAGTATCAACATCTCAAAAGCGCTTTCATCGCAATCTCATCTCAAGCAGTCGAAGGAGACCTCCCCATGGCAGCTGTCCCTGTACGGCACAAGTTTACTCGGCAAACGGTCAGCAAATGAGCATTGGTCTGCCAGTAGGTGCCAAAGATTGCTTTGTGTAGTCCCAAATGAGTAATTTGTGGCCAATATTTTAATCGACTATAAACCTATACTAGTAAAATGAATTCCACTGAACAAGCATAAAAACAGATGCACCATTGAGCAATACCTCCGATTAGCATGGTTGGTTACGTACGGTGTGAAAGAAGTTCAACATACATACAGTAAAACCAGGCTAAATATGAAACCTTACAATCAATTGTGATAGACCACACTGCACCTTGTAGAAAGAATCCATGGAAAGCAGGGCGACCCATGGCACATCCAGGGCCTCTATGATTTTATTGGCTACAGTGGTCTTCCCAGAAGCACTCCCACCACAGAGGCCTGCATACAGACACACTCACACGATGTTAAATGAGCCAAAGGCCAAAGAGACCTAAATACGAGAGCTACTTATGTTTGTTTGGTCACAACCTGCCTAGAGATCATGCGGTGTTAAGGTTTGGCAAATGTATAAGTAATTCAACAGCAGGTTAAACAAATCAATGTTTGTTCCAGATAACTTTTTACATTAAGGCTCAATTTAATGTTTTTCTCACCCGAACCTCGAGTGTTAGCACCTACGAATACGTTAAAGTACCCGTAATTATCTGAGAAAGGTGGCAATGGTCGCATTGTTAACTACAGTAACTCCAACTTTGCTGGGTACAACGGCAGGTAAAGGTAAATCGCATGACAAGCATACACATTCACCAATGACTGAAAAAAATGCTTATCCTTTAAGTGATTGCTGTTTTACCGTAAACGGCAACATTTACTGCTCTAGTTGAACACACCCTAATAAGTAAGCAAACTTTATAGCACCAGCCTTTTGCCCGTCCTTGGACGGGTGTATTTCAGTAAATCTGAAACTTGCAAGCGAAAAGCAGACCGCGACGTGACATTGATTGCATCAATTCGTGTGCAATTTGTAAGGCCGCGGTGACACAGACTTATTTCATTTAAAGGTTATAATCCCTTGCTCATCATGACGTCCTTTTTACTTTGATGTCTCAACAGCGTGACGGAGATCGTGTGATGTGAGGGTTCTGCCTTTGTAGTGAGGGTTGTAAGTTGACGCCGAGGAGGGGGGAGGAGGCGCCTCGCCCCCCATGTGGAGTGACGTCACCTGCTAATTATTATTAATGGCGGGGGTGTCCATTTGGAAGACGCCACCTCTTCATGATTATTAATGAGGGGGGCTGTTCGATGTGGAGTGACGTCATCTGCTCATGATTATTAATGAGGGCGGAGGGGTCCATGTGGAGGACGTCACCTGGCCATGATTATTAATGAGGGGGGGGCTGGCCGACATGGAGTGACGTCACGCGCGGGACACACAGACATTCTTGCCTCATTAAATTTGTTTGCAAATCTATACTGTTTTGGCATATCCCCAGGGCAATCATACAATCAGAACTCTGTATAATAAACTAAATGCTTTTAAAATGCCAAAAATATAATGTATGCATCAACAAAGCAGTTTTTTCGACTCCTAACACGTTGAATTATTTACAGAATCTCACAGCCTTCCATTTTAGCTAATCCTACGACCGGACCGAGGGCAGAATTGAGAACAAATCGGTTCAGCGTGAAGTGCGGTGGACATAAATCTGTCGAGCTGCCAGATAATGTACATTTTTGGTGAGGACAGTATTACCTATGACAAAAGCCTCCTTGAACTGCGCTCCCTGCTCGTTGTACCAAGGTGGCCGACCGGCCGTATAGATGGTGCGCTTGCTGGTGCGCAGCAGCGGCGGCTCAGTTTTGCTCTGGCTGGTCGTGCGCTTGCGTGGCGCCAGCGGTGGCCGCTGGGGCAGCTTTTCCAGCAGGCCCTGTAGCGAGTCGTCATTGCTGAGGAGGGTGGCAAACACAAACGGAAAAGGAGAACGCAACGTCATCGACCCGGTACTAAGCGGCGATAAATCTCACGGACTTTTCTAAATATGCGGTGGAAGTGTTTAGTTTTTGTGACCGATCCAAAGCGATCACACAATTCTAACTAAATATTCCGGCATGCTGGAATTTTACTCATCGCTTTCGGTCAAGATTTTTTTTTGTTTAAACCAACAAGCATGTGTCCAAATGCAGTCAGTCACAAGGGACAATTAAATACACTCAATAAATTAGAAAAACATTGGTATTATGGATTTAACATATCCATAATACAGGTTTTTTTGGGTTAGATAGTTATAACTTCAGCACACTGGTTTGTTGGATTGTTGGAGAGTAAACCCACAATATTTACAATAAGAGTAAGAAATTTTGATGGTGATTACAACCAACGAATATTAGTCGCGAAAGTCTACATGTTAAACTGCGTTTAAAGTAGGTTTGGAATGTAGAGGAAGTGATGTTAAAACTAATAAGAATGTCATAGGCACCACTGTACACCAGTACAGTGACCCGAATCATATATTGAGATGCAAAATTCCTTTAATTGATTAATTTCGACATCCATTTCCTCACCCTTTACGGTAATTACGCAACACAGTAAGACTTTGCTTGACGCGTGGTGCTCACACAACGCATTTTCGCGATAACACAGTTCTTCCATTCGGGAACACATTGCACAATGTGGAACGCGCCCGTTATAACTCGGTTTCTGAGTGTCAGACGAACTACTTTCTTGATTTTACGCAGCTGAGCGGTTTGATACAGTACGCGAAATGATACGGTAACGTGGCAGCGCTCAAAACAAATCAGTTCTTTGTTCTGCCATAGGATGACAGCAGGCTTATTTTATAGTGCAAATGCGATTCAGTAACAGTAATTACTCGCTTAACCTGGTTTTTTCTTAACGCACCACTTTTCAGGAATGCATCTACCATGTTAAAGGAGGAACTACTGTACATGTAAAAATGTAACACGTACAAATGAGCCCTCGACCACGGTAAGTCATGTGACATACTTGTTTGTGTTGCAATGTAGTAAAAATGTTCAGTATTCAGACGTGTTTAAGGAAGGAACTCAAATTTGTGGCTTGATAAAAAATAATTCGGGCAAAAAAATTTTTCATTTCATGAGTCCGCAATGTGGATGCTACGCTTCTGAATGTTAAAAAAATATATTTTATTTTTTACTTTTAAATCCCTTAATGACATGAAATGAATAACAGCACATGATCTATCCAATTCATTATATATTGTTGACAAATAACGTTGTACGTTCACAGCCTTGTAACAAAATACTTTGTAAGAACTAGAGCACTATATTGTTTGATAAGCAGGATGGAGAAAAAACTGCAGGAGAGTACTGCACCCATAAACGGTTACACATTTTCACAAGAATATAATTTTAAATGTTGTTCCTAGAAAGTACAGTTTTGTCAAAGTAATAGTCTCTACATGTGTATTAAATTATGGCAAAGCAATCATTAAAGCAATACTCCTAATAGGTAGTGAACTACAAGCGCCGGTTTTCAGAAATCAATGAAACCGTGTGACTTTTTAGGCCCAGAGGAATGAAAATAATATTTAGTTAAAACTTTAATATACTGATTACGACACATTCAAACAATGCCATGAGCAAAAATGTTCATTAGTTATGAAGCCAGTTTAAATACATTCAATTAGTTGGTGAGCAATGACCCAAAGCAACCAAGGTCAACGTTTGCTTTATACCTGAAACAAAAACAATATAGGCTATAAAAAGGTCACTATGTATTGCACGCAATTTATTACACTCTAATACAATCCTTTTTGCCATCCTACAAACATCTCTGGCATTTACCAGCAGTAGCGGCATGTGCTTAAAATTGCGTCACGGTCGACGGTTCCCAGAAACCAAAATGCACAAACGGACGGAGAGCATTTTTGGGAACAGCGCCCTCGGTTTAAATGACGGGGTGAGTTGCCAATGCAGGGAGGAGCCAGGTGAAGAAACGTGGACAAGTTATAGCACATTGAACATAATTACGTGAATTTAAAGTTTTACATTTTAATTGCTGGAATTCCTGTTAGCATCGTGGTGTACGCTGTAACCATTAACCATTTGCAGTTAGTTCTTGCCCAAAAGGCAACTGCAAAGGCTTTCCTGTTAATCTAATTTCAGATCATAGTATGCAGTCAGAAACAAAACATTCTAAGAGTCAAAAGTATATATACTATTTAACGCTTGGAAAATCGGACAATATTTGACAGCGCATACTGAAGTGGATGCTTTATTAAATGCCAATAATGATTTCAATTATACTCTATTCATCTGCACAGCTGTAACATGACACCCCACTCTGTTGCATATACACAACATTTTCATTAAAAACCATACATCGAAAACTTTATATTTCCCGACACCGATTCAGTTTTTCACACTAAACTTCACGCAGTAAGTCACCAATAACAATCGCCAAAAGTTATTCACGTCAAATTTAATTGATCTAGAAAACAAGGCACTATTAAACATTTGCGAACGTTATCTCTCAACAATTAACTAAATATTCACTCGAAACAACGTTAAATCAAATAAACTTGAATAGCAATAGTACAGCAGTTCAAAGGAAGACTTACCTAGGATTAAAGCGAAAACTTGACTGTCCAGAAACAATAGCACCAAAGTAAATTTCCTCTCCATACATATTCGTTTTGTATTAAATAAATGACGCTCCAGCAAACCAAACAAAAACAATCTGGGCAGCCGCGTTAGCACTCATCTGGGCAAAACAACATCATCATATGTTCAGTAAAAAAAAACCCGTGTCAAAACATTGATAGCCTACTTTTTAGTCACGCAAGTCATTAATATTGCCCCTCTGTAACAAGCGCGGACGAAACGTGCCCATTACCCAACGCCTATTTATTTGCCTGAAAGGAGTTTGTTTGGCTTTGGGGCAAACGGAGATTTCTGTTTGTGGCTCGTATCAACACGAGAAGCTAAAGTCGTACGCGGTGCGGCTTCAGTCCTGTCCGTTTATTAATAGCACGCCCCTCCACCGGCTTGCCCCTATTATGTGTCAGCAGCTGTGACGAAGGCACGCGTCTAGTGACGGCAATGGTAGGAAAAGGGGCTTGTGGTGTGTGTGTGTGTTTATATATACATACATACAGAGGCACTGTACATGCGTGAAGCTTTTTTTAAAAACGCGAAAGGCAAACAAGCCAGAACGATGATGTTGGGAGTGTCACTGGCAAGTCTAAGGCGTGCTATAAAATTTTTTATTACGCTACCGTGGAAAGCAGCTGCAAAACATGGTGTTACCAATGTGCCCTGCGTGACAAGTATGTGCTTGAAAATGTATTGCAATAATCCCTCCAACCATTATCCCGAGGCGACGTGTACATGTTGTGCACAATGCATAAGCGGACCTGGATTACATAAAGGTGCTTATGTAATACACTAGCTGTACTACCCGGCTTCGCCCGGGACTTGTATCCACCACGCCCGGCCGCCTTTGTCTCCCCAGTGGCGATGTTAATAGGCCACACCAGTTACTCGTTTTGAGGCTGAGTCCCTCCCTCACCACTCTCCCTCCCTCACCACTCTCCCTCCCTCACCACTCTCCCTCCCTCACCACTCTCCCTCCCTCACCAGTCTCCCTCCCTCACCACTTTCCCTCCCTCACCACTCTCCCTCCCTCACCACTCTGTAGAGGACGTGAAACTTTGATGAATTTACCTCAGAGTCGCGTGGTGGGTGTCGAGGCCTAGCACCGTGCAGAGCCTCCGGCCTCACCTAAATTGCCCACCCGGCTGAGGCTGGGTACGGGTGGCGTCCCCCCCCCCCCCCCGCGCTACAATAATACTGTCTAATCGTTATAATTTTATAATCTACCGACCCTATAATAGTAATTGCACACATTGTGGTGGGGGGAGGAGTGAAGAGGACGTGAAATTTTGATGAATTTACCTCAGAGTCGCGTGTTAATGCGTGCGCTTATTTTTAACGGGAATTAAAAATGGCGTCCACCCCGCGGCAAAGGCGTCGCTACCCGTTGCCAGGGGCAACCGCCATCCAATGAAAGCGGCGAAGGCGTCGCTACCCGTTGCCAGGGGCAACCGCCGTCCAATGAAACTGCGTATGGTCCGGCGACCCACAGACAGACAGACAGATTCGCGATTTTATATATATAGATAAGGTACTTATGTAAACGTGACAAAACATAAGACTTGGGAAACATTTCACGTATGTATTTTCAATAATGGATCTGTAAAATATCGTTTTGAAACAAACACTCCAGCCGCAATGCCCGTTAAATTAAACCGAAATGTAAAGAACAAACCTCATCCGTGCAAAAACCGGATTACCTCTGCATCCGATTCCAGAAGACCAATAATTACACTGTGTAACACAATTTTTGTTCCTGGGTAGTAAGTGTTATTTCGTAATTGCTTATGCCCAAAAAAGTATAGAAAATGGCTATTATTCCCCACAAACTTTGCTTTGGTGACCAGGACAGTGATATTTTGAAAAAACAACATATGAATCAAAATGAACATGTATTTATACTAAAGTAATATAAAAATGACTACAAAAGATTAAGTAAAGCGAGTAGTTTTTTATAGATTTACGATTATACTGTAAATCACTTTCACAAATCAGCCCCCAAATGTAGTCTCCCATCATGTTCTTGTTATACTGTCCTTGGTAGCGGCGTTCAAAGTTGAGTATATCCTGGTGGAAGCGCTCGCCTTGCTCCTCCGAGTACGCTCCCATGTTCTCCTTGAATTTATCAAGATGAGTATCAAGGATATGGACTTGGAAGGACATCCTACAGTCCATTGTGCCATAGTTCTTCACCAGTCTCAACCAGCTCCACAGTTTTCGACCTTGTGATTGCCCAGGAAACCACTGCGACAAAGCTGTTCCAAGCTGCTTTCTCCTTACTAGTGAGCTTCTTGGGGAATTCATTGCACTCCAGGATCTTCTTTATCTGTGGTCCGACAAAGACACCGGCTTTGAACTTTGCCTCGAGACAGCTTAGGGAAGAAGTCTTGAAGGTACTTGAAGGCTGCCGACTCCTTATCTCTAGCTCTGAAAAACTGTTTCATAATGCCCAATTTTATGTGCAGTGGTGACATCAGCACCTTCCGGGGGTCCACCAGTGGCTCCCAGTTGACGTTGTTCCTTTCCACAGAGAACTTGGTCCGCTGTGGCCAGTCCCGCCTGTGGTAGTGCGCCTTGGTGTTCCTGCTGTCCCAAAGGCAAAGATAGCAGGGAAACTTGGTAAACCCGCTTTGGAGGCCCATCAAGAATGCTACCATTTTGAAGTCTCCGATGACCTCCCAGCCGTACTCATCATACGCCAAGGCATACAGCAAGGTCTTGATGCTGTTGCAATCCTCTTTGAGGTGCACCGAGTGAGTCAGGAGAAGAGACGGGAACTCGTTACCATTATGGAGCAGCACGGCTTTGAGGCTCCTGGATGAGCTGTCAATGAAGAGGCGGCACTCATTCTGGTTACAGGCGATTCCGATTGCCTCGAACAGACTGGTCACATTATGGCAGAAGCAGAGCCCATCTTGACGGGTGAAGAAGCTGCAAAAAGGTTGGTGATGCATCCTCTGATCTGCGACTTGCACACTTTCATCCAACAAGTTCCACTGCTTGAGCCCAGACATCAAAAGCTCAGTTTTTGGACTTGGTGAGACCAAGATCTCTGATCAAGTCGTTGAGGTCTTTTTGGTTGGGGTAGTATGGGTTTCTCTCCCCAGCTCCACCTCTGAAATTTTCATCTGGTTCTACGTCTTCCTCGCTCTCTGACTTGCTGCTCTCTTCTAAAGAGGGCTGCTCTCTCTCCGGAGGAGTGGGTACGGGGAGCTCATGGCAGTGTGGCACCAGGGCGATGGATGAAGGAAGGTCCGGATACGTGATAGCAGGTGCATTCTTGCCAGTCCGACGTTTGAAAGGGTCCACCATGCAGAAGTAGCAGTTACTTGAGTGGTCAGTGGGTTCCCGCCAAATTCTTGGGATAGCGAACTTCATGGCTCTCTTTTCCCCGCTGTACCATCCTACAATACATTTATTTCACCCATGACTAATGTGTAAGAGATTCTCGCAACATTTTTCATATACGATATATTTTTTTAATAACATTGAAAATTGTAAAACATTTTAAAATAAAAAATGTTTACAATTTTAAAAATGTTAACAAATTTTATGACATAAAATTCTGAGCAACAATTGTCCATGTTTTTTTGCATTGCTCGCAGGTGAAATGAGGTGCCCAGGGTTTGTCTTGATCCCAGACAGGCATGCCGAAATATGCCTTGTAGGCCTCACACATTTTAGCAGATGCTTCCACAAAGTACTTTTTCGCTCGTCTTGATAAATTGGCCGCAGACATAGCAAAATGCGTCTGCCAGATGCTTGCAACCTCTTGATGCCATCTCAGAAAAATGCAGATGTGTATCCACCTAGGCAGCTGGAACTAAACTGAACTGGTGGGCTTAAGGCCCCTGTATTTAACCTACTATTTATATTACTGGAAAGTTCTATAATGTTATAGAAGTTACTCCAAGTTTACTCAGCACTGAATCTATCTGGAATGTTCTGAAAAATAGGTAAATTTCAAAATATCAATGTCCTGGTCACAAAAGCAAAGTTTGTGGGAAATAATAGACATTTTATGTACTTTTGAGGCATAAGCAATTAGGAAATAACACTTACTACCTAGGATCAAAACAACAAAAAATGTCGTTACATAGTGTTATATAAATGCCTCTCCAATGGGGCTTTTGAAATTCGAGTGAAAAGGAAATACTCCGACATCAACAGAGCAGGCATTGTACTTGCTCAAGCCTTCACACACCATGGTAACCGTGGCATGACCGTGCACATTAAGCAATAAAACTGGTGTTGGTAGCTACCACAAGGCACATAATTAGATACGGAGAAGTCAATACCGAGAAAGGGAAAAACAAAAAAAGCAGGGTAAGACATCGTGCGATGAAATAAAAAAAATGTGGAAGGTCACTACGAAATAACTGAGGCATGAAAAAATGAACGGGCGAGCTTTTTACTCGCCTATGAAAAGTTACAGGTTGAAATTTACTTTAAAAATATTCGATGCAGACTGCAGTAGTTAACGCTGATCTACTTGGACTACAGATCATAAGCACCCGGGTACAGCCCACAATGTTATGCTGGCGTTCAAGGGCAAGCTGCCTGGAAAGTGGCCCCTGTCACAAGTGAAAACTATGGTCACCTGTTCAGCTCACACAGAATACTGTACTTGTGGGGATGGGTCGTAGAGCCATCTCGTGGGCATACTGCGTAAGTGCATAATTACATTCATTTTAAGCGGCCGGATATGTTGAACTTCTTTCGCGCTGTACTCAGCTAACCGTGACGCTCGAACCAAGGTTTCTCGCGACCGACCACATTTACCGATGTACTCCCCATCATTCAAATCAACTCGCTGCACTCGCCCGATGATTGTTAAACACATCCCACGTGACGCACTAAGTAATCAACGCTCTCTGCCCCGTGGAACGAGTTAGTTTGTATTTGAATGGGGAAGGACATTGGTTATACTTGTAGGGACCGCCAGGTTACACCAGCCCACAGGGGATTATTGTGTCCGTCGTGCAGGGAGGGGCTGGGTGGGGAGGGTGGGGATGGGCTGGGTGGGGGGTGGAATGGGAGGGGCTGGGTGGGGGGTGGGAGGGGAGGGGCTGGGTGGGGGGTGGGAGGGGTGGGGCTGGGTGGGGAGGGACTGGTCACCCCGTGGTGCCCTTATAAAACTCAACGTTTAACCTACTCACGCCGGCTTGTGCCCGCCCTCACAGTCGGGCATATTTGCGGAATACACCACGCCGCCGTTGACCCTGGCCATTGACCGAGCAACCCAATGTTCCTACCAGCTCCCTCCGCAGGAGGAATGTGTTAATACTAGCAGCTCGCACGACCTTGGAACGTGACCATCCGTAGATCCTTCCAGCCAAACGTCGATTCCTAATATAAGTGGCTGCATGTTCTTTGTACAAGACCCATCCGTTCGTCCCTCCAGCAAAACTTGTTTCTAATACGGTATGACAGAGCCCTCTCCACCTTTACCTTCTCTGTGCTGTATAGCAAAATGTATCTTGATTTCTCACTTTGCCCATTTCGATATGTATCTGCCCCCCTTCTGCTACATCTCCCTCCCTCTCCATATCTCTCTCCTCCCTCCACTGCATCTCCACCCCCTTTACTCCCCCCTATCTCTCTCCTTGCGTCTCTCTCAACCTCTATTTCTTGATTTTAAGCTTTCGTGACTGCAGGAATCCATACTCTTTGGTTCTTTCGGTAAAGTCACGTAGGTAGAAAAACAAGTATAACCCGTAAAAACTAAGTTTTTCACTATAAATCCTTTATATGCGTGGCGGCTAGAGTCCTCTCGTCCTCTGGCTTGAGATGGCTGCCACCTATGGGTCAGATGATTGCATTGCACCATTAAGCAATTGGTAATTAAATATATTTTTGTCCTAAAAAGTGTAAAATTTTGGGAAAAAAATTTCACGAACATTAATTGTCACGCACAACGAGTCTGTGTGGAAAATGTCAGCTCGATTGGATCCCGGGAAGTGGGTTAAAAAACGACCGAAAGATTTGCACGGTTGTAAGCAAGCAAGCGAACTTAATATAAAGGATTTAATAAAATAAATCACGACGTTTCGGGCGCAACACAAGCGTATGTCATCAGGTGGGAAAGCATGGTCTGCTGCTGATGCAGACTGTCTACATCTACGGCCTTGGTGAGAAGAGGCCCCATCCAGCATTGAACTGAGACGAAGGGCTGTACATGCACACTGCACGTGTAAGAATGACAGATAAGACACAATGAGGATGCTGTAATGTACACAACTGTGCTCAAATCACACTCATTGCTAGTTCAGAGGTCGGCAACCAAAATAACGAGACGTTTATTTTGAAATTCGGTAAAAAAAATAAACCTCAATATTTCAAGAGCCGCAATGTATGTGATGGATACGAGGTGGTCGTTAATAAATAACGTCATAAAATAGCGTCCTTATAAAGAACCGCATGTTGCCAGTTAATGATTTCGGCACGGTCATCAATAATTGCACAAAAACAGCATCGTATCAAATGTGTGTTTTCCCATCCACATTGGGCATCACCCAGCTCTGAGGAGGCAAACACGCTTTGCTTGACATTGAACTTAAGACCTTTGATAGAAGGGATCGACTTAAAAGTACACCACCAGCACCACCTAGTGTCGAAATTGGGACATAAAGGGAACTTTTACGAGTAATGTCTGACATCTTCCGTGGCCGTTGTTGAGTCATACGAAGTGGTATTTATTTTAGCTCACCCACGGATAAAGGCCCACCGAGCTAAAACATATATTTGTCAAAGGTGACTCCGACGAAATGGGGTAAAAGCGTACGGCAAATGTTTACGCTGACAAGCAAAAATGTAACAGCGAACAATGTGAAAGTAATTCAGAGCAATGTATTGTATCACACGGCACGATGCCGAAACAAACAAACTAAGCCGAATATAAAGGACAATACGATTGTCCTTATATGGTGAAACATGCATTTTCATGTCAATATTACAGACAACCCGATGCCACACAAACCATAATTCCGAGGGAACTTTGTGCAAAAACACAATTTGCAATATCCACGATGATCCACGTGCGATCAATCCCATCTCACAATCGCCCCGTAGTTAACGTTTTAACTGCGAACGTTAAATTGCGTTTTATCTTCCTAAAAGATTATTAATCATTCGGCCTCCTCGTTACCGGAAAGCCTCGGGGAGGCATAGCCACCCGCCTCGGGGAGGGCCGGAAAACGGCACGCTTTCCAGGCAAGACACGCGCTTCACATCGCGGTTAGGCCTCGATAAGGAAAACAATTAAACAAACACAAACTCTCATTATAATAAGCGGCGACACACAGTGAGCGAGCGATCACGCGAGCCCACCGAGTGTCGTTGATTGTTGTTTACCTGTCGGACAGGGAAATTATTTGCGAGAGATCGAAGTGAACGCCGCTGGTCGCCGTACACGCTGCCACGCTGTCCGCCATGCCGGGCAACGATGAAGGTTCACGGCGAGAGAACGAGAGGCGGCACTTTAATAAAACATAAAAAAAAAATTGTTGTCGATGCTGCAGATTGCGCGGGCAGTTGGGCGCGTAGTTTAAACAAAATAAAATATACTGAAAAAAAAAACAAATTCGTCAATGACACTGCTTTAAAAATAATATATTTTTATGCGTGAGCCATCACAGCAGCAGATGGTCCACTGCATCGTCCACTGGCGCTTTATTTGGCCGTCTGGAACGCTCTTGCTTCCGATATTAGGAAATAATGCACGTTCATAATACTGGATGTACAAAAAATATATATATATGTGCTTCCACGGGGTGGGGGGGGGGGAAACGCATGTTGTAAATTTTTTTTTGAGAAACCAGGCAAATAAACCAAAAAACGCAACACAGTTCGTAAATAACATTGCTTTAAAATTATAATAATAACACATCAACCATCACGCAAACTCCGGTCATCCTCGCAGCAGCAGCTTTTGGTTCACGTCGAACAAAGGCGCTTTCAGATGCGCCTTTTTGGCCGTCTGAAATGCTCTTCCTTCCGATATTAAGAAATAATGCACGTTCATTATATACGCAAATAAAAATGCTTCCAAGGAAAAACGCATATTATAAAATGTTGGAGAAACCATGCAAATGCTTGATTTGAATTTCTCGTTTTTGCATTCTCTCGAACAAGAGGTTGGAGCGCCTTTGGGAAACTGAATGTAATCTTGAAAATACAAATACCTACGCATCTAAAAGTTTCACGATTTCATAAGTGTATTCTAAATGCTATGACACAACCAATGGAACAAAAGGGGAAAAAACGTGCGTAAAGAAGCGTGGAGTAATGTTTTGAATTATATTAAAACTTAACTATTGTTTATTTTACCAGGTAAGATCCACTGGGCTATATACAGTTATTTTACTGGTAGGAACCTCCTGGTTACAACAGCCCACAGGTGATTATTGTGTCCGTCCGTCCGTCCGTCGTGGATCCAAAAATGGGAGGGGTGGGGCTGGGTGGGGAGGGGAGGGATGGGAGGGGTGGGGCTGGGTGGGGAGGGGCTGGTCACCCCGTGGTGCCCTTATTAAACTCAACGTTTAACCTACTCACGCCGGCTGGTGCCCGCCCTCATAGTCGGGCATATTTGCGGAATACACCACGCCGCCGTTGACCCTGGCCATTGACCGAGCAACCCAACGTTCCTACCAGCTCCCTCCGCAGGAATGTGTTTCAGAAGCAACCTGGCCACACGCCATCGCTCAACGAAGTGGCTTATCACGTGAAAAGTTATAGCAGCCAAATTCCCTAAACACATGTTTCTAAATGTGGAGGGAAAAACCGGAGGACCCGGAGAAGAAAATCCACGCGACCACAGGAAGAGAGACCTGCAATCTCCAAATATACAGGCGTCAGGGTCGGGATCTGGATCGAACCCACGAACTCCTGTAGACCAGGCGAGGTAGGTAACATTTCGCCACTACGGCGCACAATGGCGAGAAGAGACATACATTGGAACAAATGCATAACATGTAGCATGGAGAGGTCAAAGATATAATTAGCGATATTTAAATCATTTAAGTGGGCTTGCGTAGGGCACATAATTGCTGTAAGGGATGTTAGCCGATGGTCAAGAGTTGCGCTGTAGTGGCAGCCAAATAATTGAATCCGTACAGGAGATACATTCACCGAGGAGATGGATCGATTAAAATCAGCTCTTGCGTAGATGCAGCATGGATTATTCAATCGCGCTGAATTTCGGGATTAGGCGGCGGCTCGCGGGGGGGCCTTCATCCAGCAGTGGATTGACCATGGGTGATTATTTTTCTGCTTCAGATGAAATAGACCCTTACATTGCTCCTGCGCGGATTTCCGCGGTTGTGCAATACAGATCTCTGATGTATTTTCGGGTTGTACCGTGCGTTGTTCGGCATGATATCCGACGTTTCGCTTCTACGTGCCCGGGAGCTTCGCTGTGAACTGAATTCGGTCAGACCTTTAGAATGCAGCAAAGCACGCCAGCAATGCGAGTGCAGAATAACACACACACACATGCGTATACCCCAGTGGATTGGAAGGTCCCGTAGGTGCAATCATTGCCCAATGATCACACCTCCCAATCCTCTTGCTCCTCCTGCTCCTTACATCACCCCCTCCTCCCCCGGTCCCATCTTGTGCTCTTCACACACTGACAAATTTACGAACCGCCTTTGCGTCCTGGCGGTCAGATTGCATAGGCTGTGCGATGCGGGGGGAAGAAAAATAGGGGAATGCCTATATCCTAAATTCATCGGGCATCTACGTTTTAAGTGCACGCTTAAAGGGCAGTGGTTTTTAAATATATATTAATTCCATCTGTTGACTGCGGCGTAAATCCGTGGTCGTTTCGTGCCAGCTTGCTTTAGGAGCGCGGATTCATAAATCCCCGCTGCGGTTGTGCGTGCGTGCGTTCTTTGTGCGTGCGCGTTTGTGCGCGTGTGTACACCGGCGTTCGGGGCACTGCGTGGCACATCGCCACCATGGATGCAGAAAATATTCAGCTCCTGGAAGAAAGCAAGAAGAAAGCGTTTTATTCCGCGGGCTTCATAAGGTAGGGTTTATTTTATTGTTTTTGTAAAAAACACTTCTGTTAATATTCTTAGGTTTTTTTCGGTAAAGTCACGTAGGTAAAAAATATAAATTAATAAAAGTTAAATAAAAATAAAATAAAAATCACGACGTTTCGGAGGCAACACAAGCTTCCGTCTTCAGGTGGAACCGTCACAGCACGTTCCACCTGAAGACGGAAGCTTGTGTTGCCTCCGAAACGTCGTGGTTTTTATTTGGAACCGTCACAGCACGTTCCACCTAAAGACGGAAGCTTGTGTTGCCTCCGAAACGTCGTGGTTTTTATTTGGAACCGTCACAGCACGTTCCACCTAAAGACGGAAGCTTGTGTTGCCTCCGAAACGTCGTGATTTTTACTTTACTTTTATGAATTTTAATTTTTTACCTACGTGACTTTACCGAAAAAACCTAAGAATATGAATCCTTGCAGTCACGAAAGCTTCAAATCTAGAACTTGTGTTAATCTACTGCTGGATGGAGGCCATCAGCACGTCGTGTGGGATGTTTGACCACACTTCGCCTACCACGTCGGTCAGTGTGCGGGTTTGTGAAGTGCTTGGGGAAGTGGGTACGCAAAGCTGGCTTCAGGTGGAACGCGCCGCTCGTGGTAGCCACGGTTGGGAATCGAACTCAGGCAGTGGGGTTCGTCGTGCAGTGTCCGAACCGCTGCGCAAGACGTATGTGGTTCACTTTGAATTGTGTTTGGTGCCGAGGAGCGATTCTGATAGCGTGTAACGTGTGAGTGATGTCAAATGTTGAGATTTTATTGTTATAAAAATGTATAAATAATTTCGTCAGATTTATATGATTTAAAAGAGATGATGTTAATTAGAACATTCGGTAGTAAACGTTTTATTGAAATAAAAATAATGTTACGGACATAATGGGGATATTGAGAGGTGGTCACGTGGTTCGCGCCCTGCGCTATGAGCCCGGCGACCCGAGTTCGCTTGCCGGTCACGGCTAACATCAGTGGCGCGTGATGTCCTGGGGACTCCCACCCCTCCAACTAACCAGCACTCACCTGCGTGGTGAAGTATGGTCATAGAGCCCCATGACCGACACGGCATGCGGAGGCTTTCATTCAGCAGAGTATATGCACTCAGTTTGTTTTGATGTGTGTTTCGTAAATATACACAACGACTGGAATTTATATTGTATACACTATTTAGATAGTGTACAGTCGACTGAAATATCATCTCGTCACAATTCACAATCATACGTCAGATGAATCGTACGGTCTTACATTTCAACACGTTTCGATTACCCTTGCCATATAAACGCGCGTGTGTTTGATTATCTTTAAAGTAATTTCTGGCAATGGCAAACACCACCTCCACCACCACCAAACACGCGAAATTATCGGAAATATTAGAAGCCTTACACCCGCATTCGTTCGTGTCGAGGCTGGTAGGACGGATGTCGCACGCAATTCGATATTGAAGGATATTATTTCGTGTTTAAACAAATGCGATTAAAAATCCGCTATTCTATACGACATATAGTACAAGAAGAAGTGTCTTGAATAACAGTAATATTCATGCAGATAGGCATACGCATTGCTTGCAGATAAAACCCTGTTTAAATATTCAAGAGTTCATGAACAAATGATAAAATTCAATTAACGTTCAACCCTTCAGATGTCCCGATGGTTGGCATCATAGTGTGTGTATATATGTATAAACCCACCACATAAAGAAGGCATTACATTGTCCGCTATTTAAAAATATAATAAAACATGCTGAAGCTCTACATGCACGTGGACAACCCTTTTGTTGCTTAACAGCTGATAAGGAAGGCCCCGCGTATTTGGGTGTTATATGACATTGTAGGGAATAATTTTGACCATATTTCACTATGCTGCAAAACATACTTATACAAGTGTCATTTCTATAAGCATGTCACAAGCAGTTAAATGTAACACAATGATATTGACAATCGCAATTGTCGAATAGCAAGACATCCACATCGCTTGCTAGTCGCTTAAGTTACACCCAGCGCAAATGCGGTTGTTGGATGTGATGATAACGGTAGGTGCTCTTAAGGTGCGGGGTGTATATGTATCTATATACATTACTTCAGACTTCAGAGTATATCACGGACATTGCATTTCATCTGGAATCTCGTCATTAGCATGCAAACCATCATTAACGATGTTCAACTGTAATTTATTTTAGTTGCATTATAACACGAATAACGCAAACTGCGTTTAATTTTTCGTGACAACAGCAATGGGGCTCGCTGATGTTGATGTAGACCAACAACGATGTTGTTCCATTGCAGTGGGTGAACCACGTCATTGCGTCAGGAGTAGCGGACTGCGTCGCTCTGATGATGCCTCCGTCGTATTTGTGAATCGGGCATCGAGTCGCTCATGCTATGTTCCATACCGTGGCAACCCATACGGTTTACCCGTATTCTTGTACACGCAAATTGAGTTTTCAGGCCCTTTCGGCGTACAGCCGTTTCAATACGGGCAATTTTTTGTCTATTTGTTTGTGTTCCTCTATTGCGATGGGACTTTGTAGGATGAACATTGAGATTTCTAAGGGGCACGCGGTGACCAATAAGGTCTGAATTGGTCTGTACTAAGGCAGGCGCTGATAAGGGGTTGACAGGTATGATGCCCCGTGTTCTGTTATGGGTGACCACATTCGTACACCAAGAGATTTGCATGTATTTAGTTTCCATTTGATTACGTGTGTAATGTCGTCTGTAACAAAAACACTCAAACTCATTCGTCAATAACAATGTCTTAAAAGGGAACATTATAGGCGACTGTTCTTTTTTCACAGCAGAGAGATTGCTACGAAGAAGGGCCATGACGCTTTAGAGCAGAGAGAGAGAGAGGGAGAAATCCGTGCTATGAAGAAGGGCAGAGAGAGGGAGAAATCCGTGCTATGAAGAAGGGCCGTTTTCCGAAGCGTCGCCCATTAAACATTTGTTTTACATTTCAGGGCAGTGTTGGAGACAAATCCCTCGAGTTAGATTTTTTTGTGCTTGTGCACAACTACCAACGCAGCGTCACAATGTTATATACCTTTTTTTGGTTACTATAACAAATACCCGTTTGTACATTCATATCGTAGCGTGCGGTTGGAAAATGTGGTAAGAGTCGAAACGTCCAAAAGCGCTGGTGGCGTGGGCGGCAATGATGTTTTTTTTTCGCCCGCACGCACAACCATCGCTGCTTCGTATTGTCTAATTCAATTACACGCTGGTGCACGGAGTGGGCATTTCCGATGTCACGCACCGCTTAACCGCATCCTCTCATCAGTGCCTGCAGCGATGGGCGTCTCTTCGGACTACATTGACACTCCACTGCCGCTACTGCCCGATCGGATATCAAGCTCACATTCCCACCCACCACGTAACAAAACGTATCCACAAATAGATGTTGTGCTTACCGTTTGCCTCTCCGCAAAAAATATAAGATGTGTTTTTTTTTTGTGTTTTGTTCGCGTTCACCAACCATCGCACTGACCAGCGTGGTGAAGTATGGTCAAATAACCCCCCCCCCTCCCCCGTGGAAGGCACTCGGTTAACATTTAATTGACAAAAGGAGGCCGTACATGTAATTTTGTATCATAAATAACAACGCAGAGTGCTTCGCTTATCGATGATGCAAGGGCGTTAAAGTCTACAGTCTATACTACGCTGGCATTGTCTACTACAGTATGTAATCGTCTTCTTCGTATGACTGATGTTGATGAAGAGCAACAGCTATATCTTGACTTAAAGCTTTCGTGGCTGCAGGAATTCATATTCTTTGGGTCTTTCGGTAAAGTCACGTAGATAGGTTCAAAGAAAATAACAAAAAATTACAAAAAAACCACGACGTTTCGATCGCAAAACAAGCGTTCGTCATCAGGAAGAAAAATAAGGGGAATAGCAACAGATGCAATCGGGCATTTGAGGCGTTATATGTTCCATGTTCTATTCTGGGTGACCACAGTCGCACCCTGGGCATGTTCTAATCGCATTATTTAATAAACGCGCGCTTCGAGAACACAGCCACCTTCTCCTCTGCTCTTCCTGTGATCCGGAACCGTCTGCCCAGCAATCTGTGCTGCTTCTGTCCCTTCTGGGCGCGAGATCTCCCACTTCTCCTCTGCCTTCGGCTGTCTTCCTCTTAAATGCGAAACAGTTCGCGCAACGACGACTGTTGCCTGCACGCTGCATGGAACGCCCTGAGATTCGATTGCATTAGACGCCCTCGTCGTCATTGCCAGCCATGGTCTTATTTACTGCTGGATGAAGGGCCTCCTCAAGCCGCCGATCCTGCGATGTAGTAATAACACTGGTCAACAAAAAAAAACATTTTTTCTGGCCTGGACTTTTGCAGCTGTTTTAGACTAATTTCAGGGTGCCCGATTCCAAATCTGATCTCAGATTTGCTCTATCACATCATTTTTATGCTATCGGCATACCCCATTTTCATTGATTTTACCCGAAATTAACTCTGTTACTTATGATTGCAAGTTGTTGCGAGTCAGTGACTGCTTTAGTGTTAAAATATGGTGCTGTATTTTTAGGATAGTGTGTTTATAATATCATTTTATGTAGATATCCACATTTATTTAATATTTTTCTTCTGCACTTTTTTATTGAAAATTCAATATTTGATATCTCAAAAACCTGATGCGATAGACAAAAACTGACGCCAGATTTGGAATCAGCACCCCAAAATTACATTAAAATCGTTGGAATACCTTATGCCAGAAAAAGTGTGTTGACCAGTGTAATCCACCGAACACGTGTACACGAGCCGATTTCATGATTCCATCTCCCCGGACGGACGAGCTTCCGCTCCTTGGCTGTCTTTCTGTCATCATTCTTGAACCATCGGCCATCCTCGCTTCTAGCCGTGACCGTGTCCTACCCAAGCCCCCCCCCCCCAACTCGCTTAATTTGTCTTAACGGGTTGAACAATGCGATTAATCGTTCGCAACCTTCTCTAACGCGACACGTGTTTCTCTTTAG